TACTTTTAACTCTACTTTCTAACTTTTCCTACAATATGCACTCTATTACTTGTGTAAAAGTTGTTTTGTTTTGTTTTTTTAAAGATCTCTCTTGTTTTCAAGGGACCGCCACCCCTCTTGGAAGAATTAGTAGCTATGTACCTAAACTCTGGAGTTAAACTTTCTGAATTTGAATGTTTTTAAACCACTTGTTGGTTATATGAATTTAGGAGAATTAATCTCTCTGGTATTTAGTTTCCTCACCTGTAAAGTGGATGTAATTATTAGGCTAACCCAAGGTGCAACTGAGACCAGTGAGGCAGGCAATTTGAAGCAACATTCCAAGACTTTATTGCCAACCAGGTGCAGTCAGGCCAAAGGCAAAAAGACTGTTGGCCCTGAGCAAGGGGTAAGGGCATATTTTTATAGGGGTGTTTAGGTAGAGGAGAGACATATTGCTGAGGGGAATGCAAAACTTTGGTTCTCTTGAGTGTGAGATCTAAGGCTCGGTGATAGACAATGTACAGGGCGTGCTGGCAGGCACAGCATGTCTCTTGTGGTTTTTCATGGAACCAGCTCTTTGTAGGTTGAGCTGTGTGGGGACAACTTCTGCCTTCCTGGTGAATGCCATGTTTCCCCTAGGTGTGAATAACATCTATTTGGGGGAGTTTTTTCTCTCCTACTTGGGCATAGGTCTAAATCAGAGACCTGACAGTAATGAGATTATTTTCTTCCTACAATGGTTGTGAGGATTAATGAGATACTCTACCTAAAGCCCTAATACTTGGCTTCATGTAATAGAAAGCATGATTACTAATGTTCAGTACCAGCTAGGTGGACTTTTTCCTTCTTCTAGCTGATCTGTGTCCAAAGGCACTTTAACTTGTAGGTGGGAGGGTAGGGTCTTACCCTTATATATTGTTGGGAGACATGTTGGGAGTAGATTGAAATCATTCCTACTTGTTATCTTCAGGTAGCAGTGTACTTTCAGAGTATTGCTAAAATATGACTGTCCCACCTGTTTCTTAGTTTACTGTAGCTCCTTGTGTTTCTGCTTGGTATCTGAGCTCGCCCCCCCTCCCTGAAGTTTCTGTGAGTCTCTAATGTCCCTTCAGTAGTGTTTTATTTAAAATACCTAGGTTGAATATCTCTTATCCAAAATCTTTGGCACCAGAAGTATTTTAGGCTTTTGATTTTTCAGATCTTGGAATATTTGTATGCTATATATGTATATGCAGAGATGTCTTGACGAGTCAAGTTTCAACACAAAATTAATTCATATACACTTTATATACTTAAACTGAATCATTTTGTGCATGAAATAAAATTTTTTATTATTTTATTTTTGTTATTTTTTAAAAATTTTTTTAGCTTAGTGCATGGTATGAAATAAAATTTAAAGCTGTGGAATTTTCCATTTGTAATGTCATGTTGATACTCCCAAGGTTTCAGATTTTGTAATATTTACAATTTTGGATTTTTCTGTGAGGAAACTGAAAGTTTCCTCATCCATGCACAATTACTACTTATAACACTCCTTATAGTACAGTTTTTCATGGTAAGGCTTTTTTAAAATATGTTTTAAAATGTAATTCAGGGACAGGGATGTAGCTCAGTGGCACAGCGCCTGCCTGGCAGACACGAGGGCCTGAGTTCAGTTCCCGGTGCCAAAAAGAAAATAGTAAAAAAGACCCCAAAAAATGTAATTCAAGATAATACTGTAGTATAGATCCTATTGTCACCATCATATCTAAATATATAAGATTGCTTGCTGAATTGCTAAATGAAAAACCTAGATTTAAAACCCAGGTGTGCCTGGCTTCAAAATCTGTGCCTTTAACCATTTTACTCCCCACTCCCCTGCATTCTATTAAAAAATGTTTAAAAATCTGTCTTACCGTCTACCTTGTATAATAATGTGGTATGTCTATTGTTAAATAAACAAAAGTATTCACCATCTATCTGACGCATTTAATTTTATTTATTTAGAGACAGGGTCCTGCAATGTAGTTCAGTTTGGGGTTGAACTCACTATGTACCTCAGGTTGGGCTCAAACTTGTGGTGATCCTCCTGTCACAACCTCCTTATTACTGGGATTACAGGTGTGTGCTGCCATACCTGGCCCACATTTCATTTTAACATGCTTATGCATTGTATAGGACATAAGACCTATAGATTTTTTTTTTTTTTTGGTACTGGGAATCGAACTCATGACCTCACACCTTCCAAGCAGGTGCTGTGCTGCTGAGCTATATCCCCTCCCCCAACATATGGATTAAAACATAACATTGCTCTTTTCAGATCTAGAATAAGGTGTGATTTGGCCTAGTTTATAACAGTTAAGAATTTCTCTCGTTTTTCATTTTGAATTTCTTCCATTCTTACACAAAGATGTGGTTATTTTAAAACTACTTTCAGTTCACAGTAGCATTCAGAAGTAAACAAGGCAACTTTGCTGGTGCCATTTTACTGTTTGAAGCATTAACAACTAACATATGTTCCCAACACTCTGGAGGCTGAGGCAGGAGGATCAGATCCACAAGTTAGAGGTCAGCTTGTACTACAGAGACAGCAGTTCTGAGACAGCAAGACCCTGTCTCAGAAATAAAAAATAATTTGAAGACAATTTCTATGTTTATGAGAGTGGATCAAACTTATGGCTACAAAAAGAAAAAAAATTATAGCTACTGTATTTGGCAATATACATTGTATCGCTGAATTTATCCAAGTGATAAATTCTTCCTCAGTTTTGGTTCTAGGCTAATTTGCTTTCATGGTGAATTCTGCCTACTTCTTAAATGAGATAACAATCTTATTACCTTTCTACTTTGACTGTCAGATATTGAGAGAGCTACCTTTACACTAAATTGTAGTGATTAGGTGGTCAAATCAGTGTTTCCCTGGAGAATCATTAACCATCATTAAATAAATTCCTGTTCCTACTCACTTGGATCACTGTAGTATGAGCGAAGTGTTTTAGTTGGACTTTGTGATTTTAGAACATGTTTCTCTGTCATTTCCTTTAGTGGCTTGTGTTTCTTGCTGATATCATGCAGTGTTTTACTTTTCTTGTTGCTGAGACAAATATCTGACACCCAAAATTAAAGGTAAAAAGGTTTATTTTGGCTCACAGCTTTGTAGAGGTTCCAGTCCATAGCTGTCTAACCCCAAGGCAAAGTGGCATGACCTGGAGGCATCACAGAGTAGGTAGGAGGCAGCGGTAGACAAGCAGCAAACAGAAAATCAGCCATAGGAGCCTTCTCTCTGTCCCTTTATATTCTAACCAACCTGTAAGGTCAGTTCAATCATATCTTCCAAATTTGGTTTTAAAATATCCACCCTGATGTCTTCTAATGATGCAGTATCAGACAAAACCAAAATTTTTTATTTGATATAGACAGCACTTTCCACACATACATACATTATAGCCTTGGTCCCTTGTTCACTAGGATTCTGAAATTTAGCACTTTATTCATTTACGTATTATTTAGAGACTGCTGGCCAGACTGGCCTTGAACTGGACACAAGCAATCCTTGTGCCTTAGCCTCCCAGGTAGCTGGACCTACAGATGTATCCGATGATGCCTTGCTATCTTTTATTTCATCTGAATGCCTAATTAGTTGTCAAGTCCTGTAGTTTCTATCTTTACAAGTGTGCATGTGGTACTGAGGGCCTCATACAAGCTGTACACGCTACCACTGAATTACACACAGTCCCACCCCTTAATATTCTGATATAACAATCTTGCTAAATTGCCTAGGATAATCTCAAACCTTTGAGCGTCTTGCTTCAGCCTCCCAGATAGCTGTGATTACAGATATGTGCCATCAGGCCCAGCTACAATTTTACATCTGATCCTTTCTTGTGATCTTACTGGCATACTCTCCCATCTTCTTCCTTAGGTCTTTATAATCACCTCCTGTTTGCATTATTGAATTCTCCTTCCAAAAGGATTCTCTGTCATATCTCTCCTCGATCCAGTCTGTTCTCACTGTCTTTGCCAGAGCCATGTTGCCAAAGCACAGCCCTGTCGTCTTCAGTGTTGGCATTTGTAGAGAGGCCTTTCGTGTGGCCAAAGATCTAGTCTAATTACCACTCATTCACCCAGCATTACTCAGGCCCAAGCAAAATGAAGCAATTTCCTCAACATGTCCTGCATTTTCTCACCTTTATGCTTTGGTTCATATTGTTAGGACTTGGTAGAAAGGGCTTTTTTTCATTGCAATCTCAATCAGAACACCATTTTTCCTTTATAGGTCACCTATTTAATTAAACATTTTTTGATTCTTTCCAAAGATATGTTCTGTTTTAACTTCCCTTGACTTTTTATATCTGGTCATATCTTGTGGTAAATAACATTCTTATTATATTAAACTTATATGTTTCTCCTATATAAGTTAATGAACCACAGTTCTTTATCTACTTAGGGTTTTTTACGTTTTTCTGCTTAGATCAATGTCTTGCATTCCAAAGGTACTCAAAAAGTACTTAATTGAAATTGGCAGTGTACAGGCAATATATTCCACGGAAATAACTCAAAGCCTTTTTTTAAAAAAACAGTATTTGTAGAAAAATATTCATTTGGAACAGCATCACACAGTAAATACACAAAACTTAAACTGTAAGGGAGTGGTTGTATAAATTTAGGCTAGGCCCCAAATCTCTCCTGTGCATGGCTAATGGCAAGAATTTAATATGTATTGAAGATCATACCATTACTTTGTAATATTAGGTAAGCAAGTACATGAAATCAGTTAAAGAAAAAAATGTCACAAGACATACCAATTGTACCTATAGGAGGCCTATGGAGTCGCGTTAATAATCAGGGGTCAGAGAAAGCACCTGTCACATTTGTACAGCAATCTAAGATGCGTCCTCATACCTACTGTGATTTTCACATCAATCCTGAGCGGTATGCCCGGGAGGCCACTAGCTCTCCCTGTTAGAGGCCTAAACAGCGCTTCCTTACAGGGATCAGAAACCTTTGACCCGGTCCAAGCCTCTAGTCCCCGCCTCCCAGCGGCAGGTCCGGGGCGGCTTCCCTTCCACCTCTGGACTACCATCGTAGGGCTTGAGTCTCAGCTCAGCTCTTCCGCATTACACTTGCCTAAGGAGCCCACACACAGCAGCGACCACGGAGGAGCAGACGCTGCGAGACGAATGAGAGCGGCACCTCGAGGCCGCCGTCCTGCCCGGGCCGCGCCACCATAGAGTGCAGAAGTGCGGACAGAGCGCCCCCAGGAGCGCCTTGCACTCAGTCCCCGGGCCGCGGAATGGCAATTGTGCTGGCCCTGAGAGTAGTTGCGGGACTGGTAGCGGCGGTGTTGGCAGCTTTGCTCTTGGAATATTACGGCCTGGCGGATCCGCCTTTGCCGCTGCCCCAGACCCCCCACCTCCAGAGGCCTCACCCAGCGCCGGGCTCCGGAAACAGCAACATCTTCTGGGGCCTGCAGGTGATGCGCGGGAGCCTGGCGGGTGGTGGCTGCTGGGGTACAGCGCAGAGCGACATGCAGGCGGCTCTGGCATCTGCGCCTTTGTGGTCTCTCGGTCATTTGTAAATCTTGGGGCAGCCTAGTGCAGACCTTGGCTCGGAATTTCCCCGGGCGGGGGCGGGATACCTTGAGGCGCTGTCTTTGCTTTTCATTCCACCCGGAGGAGAGCCATTGGGCCTCCACTGCCCGTGCTACCTCTGCCTGACTCTTTTAGCCCTGTTCATTGCGTGCTTTTGGCAGATATCCGACATTCACCTGAGCAGGTTTCGCGATCGAGGCAGAGCCATAGACTTAGAGAAGTTCTGTTCTGAAACGATTGACATCATTCAACCTGCTCTCGTCCTAGCAACAGGTAGGTAGGATTGCTGTGTTACAGTGGTGTTCTGTGGTCCGGATGGTAGAATGGTAGCCAGAGCTGCAGCCTTTCACACTGGGATCTTTGAAAACACTATAACCATGGCCATCAGAGCCTTTTGAGGTAGAGAAGATCGGACTTTGTAATTCCTTTTTCCTGCGGATGAGGGAGTCCAGATGTTTTGCCATTGCGAGGTCTTGTCAGAGTACTAGAAGCAAGGCTGTGACGTTCATGTTAACGTGTAGTCTGTTACTTTTGTGTCTTTTTTTTTTTTTTTTGGTCAATGTTGCAGTTCTGCATTTGAAAGAAAATTAGAGAAAGCCTTTAAACCAGGAATCAAAACTTTCTGCTTTGCTAACTTTGCCATTCAGTTGCTTGGGTTTTTAACCAGCTCGGGGTGCTTTTTGTTCATTCGCGGATACTTTTGTGACTTGGTTCCTGGTCTCTTCAAACCCTTCCTTGTTCATGTGCTCCCAAACGGTGATGGAAAGAACCCTCTGGCACTCTATTGCAGCATCTCTACTGCTGTGATGGGATATCAGACCTTGGTTAATGATTGTCTAAACTTTCCAGATTGCTTCTTATTATACAAGTAGCTCTTGGTTAGATTACATATCCTGATGAAGAGGTTGGCAATACTGTTGCAATAGATATTGGACCAATGCCAGAGTATTGGCATTTTTATACATTTTCATTTTGTCAGTCTATTGATGCATTTTGTACTTATCTCCCTCTCTCTCTCCCTGTCCCTCTCTGTATAGGAAGACTATTTGAAGGTAAGGAGGAAGGTAATGGGGAAGAGAGAAACAGAGCTGGCAGACAGCTATTCTGAAGGAATAGGGAGTATTTAAAAGGCAAATATTCCTTGTACTGTTTACTGTTTTTCTCTTTCTTTCTCTTTTTTTCTTAATGTCTTTTCGAGACAGAGTTTCACTATGCAGTTCTTGCTGGCATTGAACTTACTTTGTAGCCCAGGCAGGCTTCAAATTTGTAACAGTCTTTCTGCATTAGTCTCCTCAGTGCTGGGATTATAGGCATGCACCACCACACTCGGCCTTGTACTATTTTCTTTTTTTTTTTTTTTTTTTTTGTCTTTTTTTTTCCTTTTTATCGGTACCAGGGATCGAATTCATGACTGCCTGCTTGCAAAGCAGATGCTTATGCCGCTGAGCTAAATCCCCAGCCCCCTGTACTATTTTCTTTAAAGCTACATGTTTTTCTACATTCACAGGTTAAATGGAGACCTGTTAAGGCAGTAAACAAAGCCCTTGTTGAAGCAGTTTTTTTAGTTTAGATGACTTTCTTTGGACATACATGGACTCATAACATGATTGTGTTTGTACCTGTTGAGTAGTTTAACTATGTATGTTTGTTCCATTAGGATGTATTTTTAAAAGTTTTGAATTCTTTTATTTTATATTGTGATTCATTTCTTATATAAATTTACAGGAGACCTGACAGATGCCAAAACAAAGGAACAGTTAGGATCCAGGCAGCATGAGGTAGAATGGCAAACTTACCACGGTATTCTGAAGAAGACAAGGGTTATGGAAAAGACCAAGTGGCTGGATATCAAAGGAAATCATGGTAAGAGCAAAAACCCAAGTATAATAAAGACTAGATTTTTTTTTTTCTGTAGGAACCTAGATCCTTCAATTTAGATTGTAACATAAAATAAATTGTAGGCCACAACTCTGATACTGTACAGTTATAAGGTATGAATTTTAAAACCAGATGTTGTTATTAGCCTTTGCAGGTAAAGTTGGTGTGGCATTTTCTTTATTTGGGAGCAAAGCTTCTACCAAAATCCATGTAGGCAAATGTTTTTTAAAACCTACATTTTGTTAAGTGAAAGAAGCTAAATCTGTAAGCCTTCATACTAGATGATTCTATTTATAGACATTCTAGAAAAGGCAAAACTGTAGACAGAGAACAGGTTATAATTACCAGGAATAGGGTGGAGGAAGAGACTGACTACAAGAAGGCATCATGAGTATATCTTAGAGGATGATGAAACTGTTCTATAGTTTGATTGTGGTCTTGAATACACGACTATGTATTTGTCAAAATCCATAAAACTGTACATCACAAAGAAAGGATTTTATTTTATAAACTTTAAAAAATTTCAATAGCACACAAATTTCACTAGCCATAGGCAGAAAAATGGATAAATCCTTTGATTTTTGGGGTTATAATTGTTGTATAAGGAGGGAAATGAGTTTTTCTCCAGAAGAGTCTTGAAAATAGGTTCGTTTTATAAAGATTGGCTTGCTCATTTATTCAGTTATTTAGTGCTAATATCTATGTATCTATCTGTATTTTTTTCAAGTTAGAAAAGTTTTATTGAAAATAAGGAAAATTGCTCCTGGATTTCCAGAAGCAATCTCAAATTAGCGGTTCACCAATTTATATTTCTAAAAGATACTGATTTTAAACAGATAACTGTCTCGTGAAATACATAACAATTAAGTTTGATAAAACAAAAAGAGAAAATGCCCTGATTATAAACAAAGTGGCTAGCATTACAAATTAAACACCTGAGATTTGGCTGACAACTTTTTCTGGTATATTTATATTTGCCTTTCTTCCTGATTCTAATTAGAAGTATAGGGCAAATTCTTTTGCAATAAATAGTAAATCTGCACATATTCTAAAAAGATTTCTAAGCCAACCTACTGACTTCTTCATTTTATGTAATAAGTATCAAAAAGACTTTTAGGATTAAATAATCTGCGTAGCATTTCGGAGTACATAATAATGTAATTTGATTTGTACAGGCATAAATCCTTGTAATATGAGTTTTTTTTTTTTTTAACAGATATTAAAATAGGGAAGGAAGCTAGTTGAGTAAGATTCAGTTATAACATTACATGGTTGGTCTCTTATTTAGCAAAAGGATGACTACATTCATGTTAGTATTTCTTTTGACCTAAATTGGGCTTATAGTTTATTCCAAAGTTATTAGAAATTTATAGTAGATTCCTAGAAGTCAAAGGTCATGAATAGTTTTTAATTATTGTACCCTGGTAATCAAGCTCTGTGTAGTCACTGTATTTCCAGATAAATATTCTATGATATCCTAAATCTTACTATTTTATAACTCCTTTCCTACTGAGCCTTTTTTTTAAGATTTAAAAAGAGTGGCTTTGTCTCTAATGTCAAAGTGATCTGCTGTTTAGAGGCACTTGGCATAGGTTTATGAACCAGGCCTCGTTCACTTCTTTTTGGCTACTAGGATTAGATGAGTGAATCAGCAGCAACAAGTGCAATGTTATGACTTCAATTTAATCTGTTTTGAATAAAATATAAAAGTACCTGTTATTCTCCAGTGTACTAGGTGCCTTGAAGCTTCCAGTTAATCTGAGTTCTGTTAAGCTATCAAATTTTTAAAATTACCAATCTAAGTGAATGACAGCCTACCATTTTAAATGTTATAAAAATTGTTTCCATTTTTCCTTTTTGTGTAGATGAATGTTTGCTCTTTTTTCTTTTTAATTAGATGTATACAACATTCCAAGTCTGGAGAGCGTCAAGAATTATTACAGGTACCAAAATGAACAGAAGACAGACCACTAAGTAGAGTCTATTACAAGGAGGTTACAGTCAACTCAGTAAATGAGTAAAAACATTTTTTAACAGACAAAATTTCTGTTAAAGAACCTTTGGTAATTTTGCAAAGGAAGCTTTCTTTTTTGTGTGTGACAAATTCTGTTCTTTCTGTTTGAACGTTTTCTTGTCTTTCTTTTTGCTTTAGATACTTTAAAACCTTGTTTTGCCAATGGCACTTTTAATATCCACAGACTTTTTGTTGGCCATTGTAATATCTAGTGGAAATCATTTAGATCAGAGCTTGCTGACCACACTGCTGTGGCTATTGGGATCTGAAGGCTGGTAAACTGATTCTCTCAGCCTCTGAAATGGCTGCAGGGCTCAGTGGTCACTCCTGGCTGTGGTACCCTTGGCATGCAAATATCATCATTTTCTTGATGTGTCGTGAAGGTGCAAAAGTCTGGGGGTTTCTGAGTTACAACGCTGATTCTCTAGTTCCAGTACACTGAATGATTTTCTAGTTTCTGTTGTACTTTCAGTTTTATGTGCTCGGCAGCTTTGTTCTACCTTGTCATTTGGTTAAGTGTTTATCACTGGGTGAACACTAAAAGATAAAAAGAGCTAATGTAAAATGCTTGGTGTCTGCCTTCGAGAAACTTACATTCTAGTTGAGGAATAAAAACTTTATGGAACAGTTAGGAAAGAACACAAAGGAATGGCTGATGAAGTGTTAAATTATGTGGTGATCACTGTAAGACATCAGAAGCACACACCTGTAATCCCAGCACTCAGCAGACTGAGGCAAGATGATCTCTGTGAATTGAAGGCCAGCCTGGGCTATAACATTAAGTTCAAGGCCAGCCTGAACTCCACAGTGAATCCCTGTCTCAAAAAAACAAACAAATCAAAACAAAAAAGGCTGAGATCATGGAGTGGACACAGAGAAGATTTTATAAAAGAAGTGAAAATTGGCTTGGGATATAACTCAGCAGCACAGTGCCTACCTGGCAAGTGCAAGGTCCTGAATTCAATTCCCAGTAAAAAAAAAGTGAAAATTATGTCCAGGTTTAAAAGATGGGTTGCATTTAGAAAAGGAATAACAAGCAGTATATTTTAGGCAAAAGAATAGGCATGAACCGAGCTTTAAAAGCTTGAATGAGCTTTTGAGGGAACGGTAAGGAAACTGGTAAAGAATAAGGTTCATATTGACGACTGATATAACATTGAAGCGGTAGCTTAGGACCAATTTACATAAGTTTTAAATAACCAGTATAAAAATTTAGATGTCACGGGTGGTTCATAATCCAGTTTAGCTTATTAAGAACCCTCATATTGTAATAAGAATAGTATTTTATAAAGAGTATTCTCATAACTAAAAAGGAAGAAAGGGAGAGATCGCAATTACATGTACCAAATAAGTAAGATCTGGCAATAGTCCAGTCACGTGGAAAGGGCCAGTCTTAGTTACTTTTCTTGATGCTGAAACAAAATTCCTTACACACAAAGAAAGGTTTATTTTGGCTCGCAGTTCATAGAGGTTTCAGTTCATAACTGGCTGGCTCCAAGACAGTGTGGCATAGCAAAAGGGCATCGCAGTAGCAGCAGCACCGTCAGCAGCAGCCTGCCTGTCCCTTTTATCCCTTCCAGGCTACCCACCTTTCAAGTGGTGCCACCTACACCTAAGGTGGGCCTTCCCATTATCCTTACCCAGAACTGTGCTAAACCAATCAGAGAACTAATTTGGTACCACACACCCTATATCCAGCCAACTCCAAAAACCCTACCTGTGACCACATGGGACTGGGAGAGCACATCTAGATAAAAACCACAACAGGGCCAAAGTGAATGGAAGACATACCCATTTGGACAGTATTCTTCGATGTGAGGATGGTGCCATCAGTTCGAAGATGACAAGATACAAGCATTGGTTAATTAACTGAAAGCAATTAGAGTCACTTTAATTTAGAAGTGAGAGTTGTCCTCTTTTGTAAATATAAGAAAGCAAAGGCCAAAGATGAAAATCTTTTACTTCCCATAACTGCAGTTTTGTTTTCCTGGCAATGCTGGGGATTGAACTATTGTTCAATCCTTTACCACTGAGTTACATCCCTGGTCCTTTTTCTTTTTTCTTTTGATACCTCACTAAAGCCTCAAAGTTGCCTGGTTTGCCCTCAAACTTGTGATCCTCTTGCCTCAGCAATCCCTCCTACCCCAGTAGTCAGGATTACAGAGATGCACCACCACCCCACCACTCTTGGCCTTTTGTAACTTTCATGGTGACTGTGGACACGGAGCTAGACATTGTCAAAAAGAATTAATAGAATTAATGGGTCTAAGTAATTATTGTGAAAGTGAAGTGATTGGTAACTTACATATGTTTGTTCCCCGCCACCTGAATGTAATAAATGACATTTTGCTAGAGATGTCAATATTGTAGAAAAATTAACTTGGAGAAGAGAAAAATATTAAAGTTAAATCTTGATCTTGAGAATGCTAAACACTAGAATTCAAAAAATGTTAACGTTGTATATATATATATATATTTTTTTTGTCTTTTTTGTCTTTTTCGTTTTTACCGGTACTGGGGATCGAACTCATGACTGCCTGCTTGCAAGGCAGGCGCTTATGCCGCTGAGCTAAATCCCCAGCCCCAACGTTGTATATTTTAACCTCTGCTTTCCAAGTAGTTGCTTTTGACCAGCTGAGTGTTCATGTGTAAAAAATGTAGGAAAAAACAATGTATATAAGATTATCAAATCCTGAAGAATAATTGAAAACAAACAAGAAAAAATATAAATAAAAATTTTCATGTGGAATAAAACCCTGCAATAGAAATTTTAAAAATACTAAGAGAGGCAATATAACCTGCTGACTCTCTTTAAATTAGGTTTGACTAGTTTTTTAGTATTAATTGTAATATCTTTGATAATATATTTACTTTGATTATGATATATTTGATGGTTCTTCTTACTTAAACATGGCCACCTCCTAGCATATTACACTTTGGAAGTTTATTTGTGACTTTTTTTTTGTGTGTGTGTGTGATGGTGGTGGTACTGGGGATCAAATTTAAGTCCTTTTTATTTTATTTATTTATTTATTTATTTATTTTGTCTTTTTCATTTTTATCGGTACCAGGGATCAAACTCACGACTGCCTGCTTGCAAGGCAGGCGCTTATGCCACTGAGCTAAATCCCCAGCCCCTAAGCCCTTTTTAAATTTTTTATTTAAATTTTTTATTTTATTTCTAAGTTTAGTTATCCATGCAGTCTTCCTGATTCAGTCTCCCAGAGTGCTAGAATTATAGGCATGTGCTTCTGTGCCCAACTTGTTTGTAATTTTGTGTATACTGTGTGCTCATAGGTAAAATATCATATAGATACTTCGCTAAAAGATGCTGCCCTTCTGGGGTTCTGACATTTAAAAACTAGGTGAAACCAATACTTTTTTTCTCATTTACTCAAAAACTGAGTGAATGTATACTTTGTACTGCCTTACGCCTTCTTTCTTCCTACTCTTCACTGTCCAGCTTTGTGGTCACTTTAATTATTCACACTTAAAGTAATGATGACTTTTGTTACTAGATATTATTGATAACTATATATGTTATCAATATATTTTTAGGTCCCAAAACAGATTTACCAGCCCAGAAGTAGACTAACATTTTTCTTCTGGCTTGATGAGTTCACCTTTGCAAGTCTTCCTTGTGAATTAAGCCTCTGTGGTTTTGCTTTAAAAAGCAAACACCTTTTGTATCTCACCACACCAAGACTTCTGCTAGGTACTAAATATTTAAATGATTGGTAAGTACTATGTCACTGGATTCTGATTCATTTAGTTATGAATATTTAAGGAACTGCTTTAAATAGCCTTTTCTGCTTTATTTGGGGACCTTGTTTTTAGTTATTGATAAATTGTTTTACATGGATCTTTAAAGACGTTTCAGGAACTTTGAAATTTTTAATTTATCCAGTTTACATCTATTATCTAGCTGATTGTATTTCTTTGTCAGATCATTACATCTCTTTTCCAAAGGGGAAAAAATTGATGTTATATTGGAAAAAAATTTATATCCTGTTTTTTTATGATTGCACTAAAATTCCTATCTTGTATATTTTTTAGGAAATATTCTGCCGTACGCAAGGAGGGCTCTTTCCATTATGTCCACAGTACTCCCTTTGGCAACTATTCTTTCATCTCGGTTGATGCCACCCAAATTCCTGGGCCTAAGAGGCCCTATAATTTCTTTGGAATTTTAGATGAGGTATAGTAACAATCTCACTTTCCTATGTAGCTTATCATTTTATTTTTTCTTGGATATAAATGGATGGATCATTTAAGATCATCCTACGTAGGCCGGAATAACATTAGCTTAGTGGTACAGGCACACACATGGCAAGTGTGAGGTACTGAGTTCAATTATAGGTACCCCACTACCCTGCAAAAAAAGTTATCCTAGGCAAGCAAGAATCTTATCTAAAAGTGTTCAATAAAAATTATATTGTGCTTACAAGAATGTCAAAGAGCTACTGGCCACTTCAGCACTATAATTGCTCTTCCTATTCTTATCCCAGAATCTGAAGAAGCAGCACCTCGTGTTTTATATTTATTCAGCAAAATTTATGAAGCATATACCAAATGTAGCATGTAGTTTGGAAGATGTAGGGCATATACCTTTGTGAGCCAAATGGTATATTGCTAAATCCTCATAATTGCCAATACTGATTGGTGATCTAGAAGAAGAACAACCTTTTTTTTTTCTTTCCTGTCTTTTTGAGTCATGTCTCACTATGTAGTTCAGACTGGCGCTGAACTCTTTGTAGCCTAGCTGGTCTCAAACTCACAGCGATCCTCTTGCCTCAATATGAGTACTAGGATTACAGGCATGCACCACCGCACTTAGCGCAACCTTCATGTGTTTTTTTTCCCACAAGTTTAGGTGAAAACCTGGTGAATTACAATGTCTGTATAAAGTCACATCTGAGAACCTCTCATTATATCTTGATACAATAAATGTCAAGTTATTGTTTAATGAGCACAGCCCCTATACAAAATACACATGATAGTATATGACTGTACACAGGTGATATGATCAAGTCCTCACCCTCTTAGAGTATTTAATTTACGGGTGGATTATAAGACCAGTACAGAAACAACTAAAATAAATAGCAGAATTTGCTAAGTACTTGAAGAGGCTCAGAGTTAGTTAAAGGTTCAAAGCAACCTGAACTGAACTGAACAAAATACTTTCAAATGCAATATGTTATTCTAGGCATTTTCTTTCATTTATGGAAGGCTAGCACTAGGCCATCCTGAACTGCATAGTGAGACCCTATCTCAAAAAGACAAGGGGCTGGGGAATTAGCTCAGTGGTGTTAAGTACCTGCCTGGCAAGCATGAGGTCATGAGTTCAATCCCTGGTACCAAAAAAAAAGGAAAAAAAAAAAAAGACAAGAAAAAAAAAAATCAACTGGATAGAATAGTTTTAGACTGGTCTTTCACTGTGTAGCCCAGGTTGGCCTCAGTCTCTTGGTGATCCTCCTACTTGAGCTTCCTGAGTGCTGGGATTACAAGTATGTGCCACCACACCTGGCTTTTGCTTTGTTTTGTTTTTTGATTTTTTTTCTTTTGATAGGATTCTGCTTTACAGTCCACGCTTGCCTTGAATTTACTGTGTAACCGAGGCTGGCTCCGAACTCTTGGTGATCCTCCTCTGTCAGCTTCCTGAGTGCTAAAATTATAGGCATGTACACCATGTCCAGGCTTATGGACATATTTTAGATGCTTTAGTTTTAGAAACTTGTTTTAGAAGTTTAGTTTCAATGTCCTTTTTATTGCAAAGATTATAGTCATTACATGAAGCTAAAGATTAGTGGTGATTTCTATGTTTTTCAATCTACCTATCAAATGGAGATAATATTTATCCTACTTATTGCAGTTATTTTTAGGATAAAATAAACTATGTATAATGTATGTGAAAAGAGTTTAAATCTTTTATTTTTGCTTACTTATTTTGAGACAGAATCTCATTTTGTAGCTCAGGCTGGTCTTGAATTCATTTTGTAGCCCAGGCTGTCCTTGGACTTGCAGTGATCCTCCTGCCTCTGCTGTCCAAGTGCTGTCCAAGTGCAATAATCATAGGCATTTACCACAACACTTGGTGTAAACAGTTTGAATCCATCAAGTGTGATGGCACACACTTATGATCCCAGCACTAGAGAAGCAAAGGCAGGATGATCGCCATGAGTTCATGGCAAGCCTGGGGTACATAGTGAGTTCAAGGCAAGCCTAAATTACATAGTTAGGCCTTGTCTCAAGAAAACAAAAAATTAAAAAAAAATCCAGTTTAAGTCTTACAGATGTCCTTTCAGGTCATTGACCTAGCAGGGTGTAGGCTTCAGATACAGTGTAATTATGAAACTTGAAAGGAGCTATTTAACCTGTTCATACTGAATTTCAGCTTGTACTCTAATTCAAGATCCTTGTATTTTTCTCCCATTTCAGAAACAGATGAAAGAGCTCTTAGTCTTAGCCAAAGAAAGTAGTCAGAGCAACCATACAATTTGGTTTGGACACTTTACAACATCCACTATGCTTTCTCCATCACCAGGAATCCAGTCAACAATGAGGTAAAGAAAACTTCCAAAATAAAACTAATTGTTTTCAGTTCCTTTATTGCTGAACCTATCTTGTGTTCCTAAAAGGACATTCTTACTAGATTGGTGTCACAGGCTGTCCTTATTCATTTACTCTGTGTATTTTTCATTGGTTAGTTCGGCAACAGCTTATTTGTGTGGCCACCTCCATACACTTGGTGGACTGATGCCTGTTTTGCACACTCGTCACTTCCAGGGCCCTTTGGAACTTGAAGTGGGAGACTGGAAAGATAACAGAAGGTAAAAGAACTATCGCCAAATAAAACTTACATACAGAAGCTTGCTGAAACAGTGGTACTATGCTAAATGATATGACAGGTAGTCCCAGTTAAGGAAAGACTTGAGTATTTCTGGTTTTTAAAAGTAATTTATGTATCTGGCAGTCTTTGTAATTACAAAAAAAGTCTTGTGTTAGCAGTGATGTTCACTATCACTATGTCATGTTGAATTTTGAAATAGTTTTAGATTATATAATTACAGAAGAATTTATTAAAAATAAAACTTTCTAGGCCCCTCCATTAGAGGTTGTTGGTGGTCTATATTTTTCTATGGATGAGACTTGGAGAAACATTAGGACTACAAGTGTTATTCTTTTTTTGTTTGTTTGTTTTTTGTTTTTTGAGACAGGATCTTGCTATTATTTCATGCTAACCTCAAACTCGTAGCAGTCCTGCCCCAGCCTCCCAATTGCTGGGATTACAGATGTGTACCATCAAGCTTGGCTTGGAAGCATTATTCTTTTATCTGAATTTTTGTATCTAGTTATTGCTACAAGATGTTAGTGATTTAAAATTTTAAATAAGTGACATTTGGTTTTAGTTAAGTCTTTCTAATAAAAAACAACTTGATTAGCTGAATGTGCTGGTATACATCTGTAATTACAGCCCTCTGGAAGGCTGAGGGAGGAAGATTACAAGTTTGAGCTCAGTCTGGGCAGTTTAGTGACACAGCAAGACCTTGTCTTAAAGTAAAAAATAGATGGGCGTGTTGGTGCACACCTGTAATATCAGCCCTCAGGACATTAAGGCAGGAGAATGGCTATGAGGTCAAGGCCTGGGCTACATAGTGAGTTCAAGACCAGTCTGACCTACCTAGTGAGACCTTGCCTCAAAAAACTAAGAAATAAAGTAAAAGAAGTTGACTGACTGACGGGGGATGCAGCTCAGTGTGAATACCTTACATTTAAACCCCAGGCTCCCTACTGCACTCCCTAAAAAAGTTACTTATCAAAAATTTGTAGTATAACTCAATATATATTTTTTTCATTTTTAGGGAAGTACTTAAGTGAAATAGTTTATAGAACAGTACCATCTCATTTTCTATTATTTAATTTATTCAAATCTGGGACTCTTTTTTTTTTTTTTTCATCGGTACCAGGGATCAAACGCATGACTGCCTGCTTGCAAGGCAGGCACTTATGCCGCTGAGCTAAATCCCCAGCCCAAATCTGGAACTCTTGAAGCTGTTAGGCCCTCAATATTGGTTGGACTGAGTATGTTATTTATTTTTAACTGTTTCTGTTAAATAAAATTCAGCTTTACATTTTGGAAAGTACTTTTTTGTGGTTAGCTTTTCAAGAAACTATAAGAACTATGCTGAAGGCTGTTATTGCCTGGCAATTGTAATTACTTTGAGCTACGACCTATCCATTCATGGTGGTGAGACTGTGCGCTGCATTATGGTAACTTTTGTGAGATAACCTTCCTAACTCTAGGTCAGATTTTTTTTTTAAATTGTTTATTGGTACATTTTAGTTGTGCATAATGATCATATTCATCATAGGGAATTTGTACCTGTATATGATATAATCTGATGCTGCTTTTTCTTGTTCTGCCCCTCTTTACTTACAAAATCTTTGTTTCCATTTTTTCCCTTTTTTATTTATTTCTTTTTTTTTTTTGGCTTTTTTGTTTTTACCGGTACCAGGGATCGAACTCATGACTGCCTGCTTTCGAGGCAGGAGCTTATGCCGCTGAGCTAAATCCCCAGCCTCATTTTTCCCCTTTTTTTTCTCCTGTTTTTCTTTTCCTTTTCTTCCTTTTCCTCTCAAATGTCAGGTCAGCTTCTTTGTTAATCTAAATGGTACTGATACAAGTTGCACTGTTAGCTATGAAACTATTTCCTCTCTTTCTCTTTTCACCTGCTTTTCTGTATTCCAGTCCTAGGTTTTTGGAGTTTTACTGAAAGACCTAACTTTATGTGTCATTATATATATTTAAAGTTACAGTAGAAGATTTTGAAATAGAATATTGATATTATCAGGCTAAACCTCTTACTGGGTAAATCTAAAAATACAAGTGTTAATATAATAAACATTTATTTTTCATTCCTATGCGTCTCGAGCAACTCTCTTCCATGGATAACTCAGGAATTCCAGTTCCCTGACCTATACCACCACTGTAACACACCCATTCCAGAGCAGAGAATAGCCTAAATTACACTGACTCCTAAGTTGTTTGAATCAGAATTGTGATACTCATCACTTCTGCTCAGACCTTTTGGCCAGAACAAAAGACCCCAACCTAATACCAAGGAGATTGGGACATGCAGAAGAGCATAGGGAGCATTTGGTGAACCTTACGTTTCTGGCAGAGTTAGTAATTTTTTTGCTCAGGAGGCTGAGGCAGGAGGATCCACACAAGTTCAAGGCCAGTGTGGGCTAAGTAGCGAGTTCAGGGCCAGGCTGAACTGCAAGTGAATGAATGAATGAATGAATGAATTCATTGTCTCAGTCAGAGCCCAGTAATTGTGACAAATGAAAGGAGCAAGTGATGGGGTAAGGAAAGAAAAACAAAGAAGCATTTTTCCCCTCTGTATTCAAATTCATCATATAAAAAGTCTTTGTTTTGTTTTTTTACATTTCTTTTATTACCTTCATGCCTTTGTGACCAACGTATCTTTCTGTCTTTTGGTATCTAGGTACCGAATCTTTGCTTTTGATCATGACCTCTTCAGCTTTGCAGATTTGACCTTTGGAAAGTGGCCTGTTGTTCTTATCACCAATCCTAAATCACTTCTCTATAGTTGTGCTAAACATGAACCATTAGAAAGACTCCTTCACTCAACACATGTCAGGTATGTTGTCATTTTTTATAATTTAGTTTCAGTTTGATATTGATGGAGAATAAATCTTTCTGATTGTATTCCCCTGTGAAAGCTATGAAATGTCCTACTTTGGTTTTATCAACAACCTAAACGAAAAATTGCTTACTGCTTCATTCCCATTCAGTTAAAAAGTATAGACTTTTTTGGTTTTTGAGACAGGGTCTGGCTATATAGTTCAAGACAGCCCTGAACTCATTGTGCAGTCCAAGCTGGCCTGAGCTTTCAGCTCTCTTGCCTCAGCCTCCCAGGTGCTGAAGTTACAGACATGTGTCACCATATCCAGCTAAAAAGTATAGACTTTTTTTTTTTTTTTTTGTCTTTTTCGTTTTTATCGGTACCAGGGATTGAACTCACGACTGCCTGCTTGCAAGGCAGGCGCTTATGCCGCTGAGCTAAATTCCCCAGCCCCCCCTAGTATAGACTTTTTAAGCTGATGAAATTTTTAACACTATGCATAAGCCTATTATCATTATTGCGTTTTTTTGTTTGTTTATTTTTGACACAACATCTCACTATATAGTTTAGGCTGACCTGGCACCATGTAGCCCATGCTGGCCTCAAATGTACTGTGATCCTCTTGTCTCGGCCTCCCAAGTTCTGGGATTGTAGGCATATGCTACCATCCCCAGCCTAGAAGCCCATTGTTATTGTTATTTCTTTTTGTTGTACTGGGGATCTAACCAAAGGTCTTGTGTATGTTAGATAAGTGCTGTATCACTGAGTTACATCCCTAGCTCCTAGCTTTCTTATTTTTAAGTTTTTACATTACTGTAGTCATAATACACACATTCCCCTGCATACTACTTTCAAAATTTTATATCATGTCTCAGAAATACTTTTTCACATAGCCTTCCGAAAGCTATGGGGTGTGATTGAAATGTATGGCGAAGATATAAGTTAAAATTTATTGTAGTAAAAGACATATTGCCATTAATCTCCCTCAAAATACTCTTTCTTCAGACACAATTGTTCCATCATTTTTTTGTTTGTTTGTTTTTTGAGATGATGTCTGTAGTGCAGGCTGCCTCAAACTCACAGTGATCTTCATACCTCAGTTTCCCGAGTTCTAAGATTACAGGTGTGCCCAGCTGTTCCATCATACTTGCCATTTTCTTTCTTTGGGCAGGTGGTTTTTTGTTTTTGTTTTTATTCTTTAAGACAGGGTCTCACTATGTAGTTTAAGCTGGTCTTAAACGATGTGGTGCAGGCTGGCCTGGACTCATGGCAATCCTCTTGCCTCGGCCTCCCAAGTGTTGACAGGCTTCTGCTACCATGCCCCGCGTTTTTGTTACTTTTTCAATTTTGTCACTTCCTGAATTTTCTTTTGTGAGTGTCTTTATGAGGAATGTACCAGTGAATGCTACTGCTGAAAACCATCCAACAGAAATGCAGGCCTGTAAAGACATTATTATGTGTTCTCATTCACTTTATTTACCAAATCTGACATTGTGGACTTCTGTTCTCTCCTAAAATCAAAATGAGAGATAAAGGTTTTAACCTTGAGAGATAAAGGTTTTGAATTGATTCAAGATAGTGTCAGGCAGCCACAGACCTGATTTAGTTTAGGCTGGCCTTGAACTCACTATGTATCCCAGTCTCAAACTCTCACCAATCCTCTTGCGTCAACCTCCTAAGAGCTGGGGTTACAGGAATGTACCACCACACCCAGCTTCACTGTAGTCATTGATGACACCTTGAATCTGTTCAAGTCCTTGATTGTACTTCTTTGGAGGTATATAACCAGAAGTAGAACTGCTAGGTCATATGGTAATTTAACTTTTAAGGCGCTGCCCTGCTGTTTTTATGATGGCCACACCATTTTACATTTCACCCACCACTAGTGCACCAGGTACCCAGTTACTTTTAAAATAAAATGGATACTAATTTATGATGTTACCAAGCAATATGAGTGCCCCTTTCATAGTTCTCTAAGCATTACTAGATATTGTAATTTTTAAAAATATTTAGTAATTTATCTGAAAGAAATGTTAATAAGCTATTTATTTATTCATTGATTGATTGCAGTACTCACATTGAATATAGGGCCTCTACACTGAGCTATACCCTCCACCCTTTCTCCCTTGTATTTTTTGAGATAGGTTCTTGCTAAGTAGTTAAATCACCCAGCCTGGGCTCACACTTATGATCCTCATGCCTCAGCTTCCCAGAGTACTGGGCTTACTGGTGTGCACCATCACACTCAGTTTGTATTTGTTCTTCTGATTACTAATGAAGTGGCACACATCTATCTATTCAACTTTTTGATGGGAGCTGGATATCAGGATTAGGCTTAATCTCTGCAAAAGGCCTATGAAAACAAGTTATATTGTGTACAGGTACAGATTCTCTTTGATGAATGTGATCATTATATATATCAAAATGTACCAATAAAATCTAATTTTAAAAAAGGCCTAGTAGGCCAGCTTTGATTACAATTTTTTTCCTCTGAGAACAGAATGAGTAAATGATGGGTTTGGTATTAGATTAGCAAAGTGAAGTGTCTGGTTGTATTTTCTTCTTAAGAGAAAAACCAGGATGTCAGGTATTTCCTCAAAAAAATCCTAAATATACACTAGATAATTTTGTCAAAAGAAACTGACTTTCTTATCCAAAAAGCAAAAGAATAGTTCCCGATTCCTCACCAACTCAGGTTTCCCAAATTGTATGATTGTAAAAGCTACCATTCAAAAAGAACAAGGAAGAACAGGTTGTCTGAAGTGATCCTTACAATTGTATATGTGATGGTTCTGTCTATTCTTATATATTTTCACAATAGTATGATTGTTCTTTTAAAAAAATAATAAATACCTAAAGCTGTGCATTTTATGTGTGCTCTCATTTTAGAGTCTTGGCCTTTTCCTTATCCTCTATTACTTCTGTCACTGTTAAGATTGATGGAGTTAATTTAGGGCAGGCCATTCATTTGTCTGGTCCTATTTTTATACTGAAGTGGAATCCCAGAAACTATAGTAATGGAACACATAACATAGAAGTAATTGTGCAGGTAAGTTAATTTTTAATTTACTATGTAGACAATTACATTATTGCTATGATGAACATTGACTTGGAGTTTTTTGTTTTTGCAATCAGTTGATAAGTACCTAAGTAAAATGTTTGAATACATTTAGTATATTCTAAATGTGGGCAGTCAGGAAGAATTCTACTGGCTAGGGATTACTAGCTGGGCATAGGGATAAGAATTAATAAATAACTACTGGCCTTTGTCCTTCTTTGTTTACTCTATCATCCTCTTTTTTCTTTTGACTTTGACCAGATCCTTTTAATAACAGGGACAAATTCCCCAGTATACCTCCACACATTTGTGTATTCATATGTTTGATTCTGTCTCTAAGTGCAGGGAAATTGTGTCACAAAGCTCTAGGACCCAGAATTTCTTTTTTTTTTTTTTTTGTCTTTTTCCTTTTTATCGATACCAGGGATCGAACTTACGACTGCCTGCTTGCAAGGCAGGCACTTATGCCGCTGTGCTAAATCCCCAGCCCAGGACCCAGAATTTTAAGGCTTCAAAGGAACTTTTTTGTTAGGGAGTATGTGTTATCAAATATGAAGTAACTGTCCTTTTTCTGATTTAATTTGGAGCATTTAATTCATTAGTCCTTGCCAAAATAGAAATTGATAATTATCAAAAAAAAAAAAAAAAAAGCAGTTTCATCAAATTCTTCAAGGTGTAAGCAGTGCTTAGAAATTAGTTTCTTAAGAAATCTGTCAATTTTTTCAATATGATGATTTCATGACACCTTTAACTATTTTGTTGTGTTTTTTTTTCTTTTCAGTAGTTTTCTCCTAAGTCATTAACTTGCCCAGGCTGAGCTCAAACCTGTGATCTTCTTGCCTTAGCCTCACAGAGTGCTAGGATTACAGGAGTGTGCCACCGATTTTAAAAATTTGATACATTTCTATTACACTTATTCGTTTTGATTCTCAAATTGTTCCATCTTCAACTATTTGAAGCCTCTTCATATTTATCACTAAGGCCATTGACATGTTACCAATAGTCTTTATTAATATTTTTTTTTTTTTGTCTTTTTTCTTTTTATTGGTCCTGGGGATCGAACTCACGACTGCCTGCTTGCAAGGCAGGCGCTTATGCCGCTGAACTAAATCCTCAGCCCCATCTTTATTAATTTATTTTTTTTTTTTTGGTCTTTTTCCTTTTTATCGGTACCAGGGATCGAACTCACGACCGCCTGCTTGAAAGGGAGGCACTTATGCCGCTGAGCGAAATCCCCAGCCCCTTCTCATGCATTTCTTATTTGAGAACTGGAATCAGCAATTTCTCTAAAGAGCACTGTTTTGTTGTAATAGGAGTTTGTTTTTGATTTTTGGCTCTTTGAGACAGGGTTTTGCTATGTTATTCAGGCCTTGGAAATCATGGCAAACCTCTGCCTCAGCCTGCCAAGTGGTGAGATTATAGGTCTATCCTGCCATGCCCACTGAGAAATGGTGCTTTGAGACCATAGTCTTGACCACTAGCATCAATTGCTATTAGGTTTATTATTTCTAGGCCTTTTCAATGAACAGAGGGAAATGAAGATTTAAAAAAAAATACATTATGCTGATATTTCCAATTCAAATCTAGAATCAGAGGATTCAAAAGAAGTGCTATCAATAGTACTTACAGGAACTGGGCATGTTGCTCAACCTAGAGCACTTACCTAGCATATTTGAGCCACTGGGTTCAGTGTTCAGTGCCAGAAAAAACATGCACTCTTGGGGAAAAATCAGATAAGTGACAAAATCAGTGCTAATTGACAAAGTTATTGGAAACTTAGCCTAGTGTATAATTTAGAACATTATGTGTATTTAAATATTCACAGAGCTTCTCTGTTGTTCTTATAACTAGGATTCTGCTGGAAGAAGTAACAATGTTCATCACATATTTTCTGTTCAAGAGAATATGCATCTTACATTTGATCCCCTCGCATCATTTATTCTCCTTACTGACCACTGCGCTGTGGTGAGTGCCTTCAGTTACGTGTTAGGGTTGTGTTCACTAAATTTGGTAAATGCAAAGTTCTCCTAATATAATCATGTGACAAGAAAGCTGAACCTTATAAAATTAAAGTTTAAGTATTTATCTAGAAATAGAAAGTGCTTTCAGGTTGATTTCAGTTAGAAGAAGCAGAGGCTTGGACAAGTAATTTGGGACCTTGTTCTTACCAGTGCCATAAAACCAGGGGCTGACTTGGATTAAGGCAGCTCTCTAGATTCCTTTCCTCAGAGTTAATAATTTGGTAGACCAGAATTCAGGAATAATTTGGTAAAACAGAACTCAAGAAAACAGTTTGCATGTACATGATTTTTTCATTTGTTGGTGTGGTTTGGTTTGATTTGGTTTGGTTTTGAGATAGGATCTTGCTATGTAATTCAAACTGGCCTTGAACTCATTATGTAGCTCAGTCTGGCCCTGAATTTGAGGCAATACTCTTGTCTCAGCCTCCTAAACATTGGGATTATAGGCATGTCCTACCATGTCCAGCTAAATTATTGGCTTTTATATAAAAAGATACAACTCAGGAATGGCCAAATGGAGAGAGACCTGGATGATGTACCGAGAGTTGGTATGATCTTCCATGCCCACTCCACACACAAGCCACTCTTCCAGGACCTCCCCATATGCACCAAGAAGGAAGCTCTGTGAACCCCTTTAGTTATGGTTATATGGAACCTTCATTATGGAGGTGTGCTTGGTTACTAAATCTTTGGCCACAGTGATTAATTCGTCATAAAATCCTTCAGGCTAAAGGATAAGGGGTAAGGAGAGAGGATGTGTGGGTGAAATGCCCAGCACTTTGATCACCTGGTTTTTTCTGTGAGCATCCAACTGCATCCTTTTGGGCTTTCCAGAAGTCATCTTATTAACACAAATTCAAGTGTGATTGAAAGAGATTTGTCATTAATAACAGAAGATACTTCTTTTACCCACTACTCCAGAGCAGTTTCAGGAACTGGGAGGAAAAACTGAATACTGGTTTTTATATTATAACAATACTATTACCACTTAGAAATTTACGGGGGCTTTAGGAGCTATAGTCAGGAGCTGAAGATGATGAAGATTTCCATTTTGTCATTTGCCATGGAAATGCCATTTCCATTTTTGTTAAGGGGCCCAATGTAAAAGCTTTCATTGCTGGGCATGGTGGTGAATGCCTGTATTCCAGCACTTGGGACGCTGAGGCTGGAGGATCACTGTGAGTTTGTGGCCAGCCTGGACTACATAATGAGTTCTAGGCCAGACTGAACTATATAACGAGACCTCATCTCAAGAAAAAAATAAAAAATAAATAAATGCCTTAACTGAAGTTGTGCCTGTGTGTCTGTTTGCACATTAACATCTCTTTCTGTGCAGGCCCGGGTCCTTTTTGTGCTGATTGTGCTGATTCAGCTCTCCATTCTCATTACATATAGGTATCTAGCGTATCCAGAGCTTACAGGTTAGTCATGGTTCCTTTTAAGGTATCACACAATGCCCTCACTCTGACTAGATGATGAATAGCAGTATAAGTTTTCTTAACCTGAGTTCTTCACATTCTTCAAACTCTCATACTTTCTACATGATGCAAACTTCCCCCCACCTCCCATATATATACACCCTCATGTTAGTACCTGGTTTTGTACATGTACTGGGAAAATGCTCTACCATGAGCAATAGTTGCTATCTTTTTATCCTATTTGAGACAGAATCTTGCTAAATTTCCTAGGCTTAGCTTGCACTAAGCTAAGATCCTCCTGCCTCAGCCTCCCAAGTAGCTAGGATTATAGGTATGCTGCTACACTTGGTTCATAATACTGTCATCTTGAAGAAAAAAATCTTTTTTTTGTTGCTACATGGCAATAAAATAAGGCTCAATCAGAATGTGAGAAAACTTACACTAAAGCACAAAATGACTTTATGCTGTTATTTAATTTTATATATGAAATACCTTTTAAACCCCTATTAATTTAAATAAAGATAAGACAGTAATCAAAACTTGACAATATGTACAGAGCAGGCTATAGAGATATCGTAAGAAGGTGATTTTGCCAGGGTATCCCTTTTTCCTAACGTATCTTTTTATGTGTCCTTAACTATTTGCCAGGCTACAGAGTTGTCTACAGATACCTGAGGTCTGTTAATAAATAATTAAGGTTAATTAATAATTATTAATATGTAACTTTTAAAGGAATATAAATTTTATTTTTTTAAATTTTATTTAAGGAGAAAAAAGAAAAAAAACAAAAAGGGTACAAGCTATACAGAATTTCAGAAAAAATAAACAGGCAGACACTAGTTAATAGATGACATATTGTCATCTTAGAAATAGTTGTTCAAGTTATAAAATTAAAGCATATAGAGTGGACATTCAAACAGTGAGACTGCAAACAGTTCTGTTCAATGATCCAATAAAACTCAGTAATATGGTTACCTGTCTTATACACTTAAATATATATGCAGTTATGTCCTTTAGAGCACTTTCTTTTCCTCTCTTTTGTACAATGAAAATTACACATTTTGGGTTTTATTACTCCCACTGTTCTTATTACTTTTTTTTGAAGAGAGTAAAATCAAATGTGACATAACAGGACAGAGTCAGCCAAATCAAAAGGATGGACATACATAATGTAAAAACAAAACACAAGGTGATCAACAATGGTTACCATAATGGCTCTTGCTATCTTAAAAAGAATTGCCTATATCATCAGTTATAATAAAATTGAATAAAACAGTAAAGAACAAAACCAATAAAATCAAAACATTGAGACAGTAGAGGATTTCAAAAGAAGATAATAGTCAACCAGAATGGGCGTCATAATGAATCTTATTGTCTTCATAGTTGTTGCCTATACTTTCAAACTTGGTACTATCAAGCAAAACAGAATAGAGGAAAATCAGTCAAAACAAGATGGTGAGAGCAATACAGGGTTTCAAATCAAGTTAATAGGAAATCACAGTGGGTTACTATAATATATCCTGTATTTTATTTATTTTTCCCTTAAGTAAAAGGATGAAAATGAAAAAGTAAATAATAAAAAAAGGAGATTGAGATAAAAGAGGACATAACAACAAAACAGCACAGGTCAAAACATAACCATTTAAGCAAGATAGTGTTTCACCACAAGATAATCCTGACATAAAAGTAGTTACCATAGTATCTCTTTCCTTGAAATCTTTGAGTATAACTTCGTATACTGTAGCACCAAACATATCAAGACAATGTAAAACCATTCAAGAGAATGACAGTATTACAAGGTATTTAGAATCAACTAACAGAAAATGAACAATGATTTCTGTATAATCTCCTTGTCTATCAAAGTTTTTGTTTATATTATCACATATAATAAAATCCAGTAAGATACAACATGTTAAGACCGATGGAGACAGAAGAACAAAAGCTTGATGGGACTTCAAACAAGATGATATTAAATCAGCACTAGCTATTATGTCTTGTTTTCTCCAAAATAGCTGTTCCTACCATCCAACCTTCTCTGCCTCATTTCTGTTGAGCTCTTTTTTTGTCATTAGTTGTCAGTTTGTCTTCATTTCGCTTTCTGCTCCATTCATTGTGGCCTCTCTGCCACTATTTCTAGAATCTTGGTATTTTTCTTTTTTAGAATATCCTGCAATATTCCCTGTAGAATTGAATTGGATTGCAAATTCCTCTAGTTCCTCTTTATCCTGGAAGCACCTTGTTTTTCCATCAATTTCTAGGGACAGTTGTGCAGGATATATCAATCTTGGCTGGAGGTTATTATCTTTCAAAGCTTGAATTATTTCCCCCCACACTCTCCGTGATTTGATGGTTTGTGCTGAGAAGTCTGCTGTAATTCTGATGGGTGTTCCCTTGAAGTCATCTGTTTCTTGTCTCTGATGGCTTTTAATATTCTGTTCCTATATCATATTTCTGGATTTTTGATTATTATATGCCTGGATGTAGCTCTGTTTGGGTTGTAGGTGGCTGGGGTCCTGTATGCCTCATACATCTGAGTATCTTTACCTTTTGTTAAATTAGGAAAATTCTCCTGGATTATTTCTGTGAATAGCTTTTGTAGTCCATTTGTTTGTGTCCCTACTTCTTTTATGTTCTTAATCCTTAAGTTATAGATCCTCTTATCATCTTCTAGCCTTTGCATTATTGCTGTTTGTTTTCTTGTTATTTTTAAGAAGTTTTTCATTTCATGCTCCCACCTTACAAATCTGTCCTCCAGTTCAGATAATCTATCCTTAGTTTCTTTCAAGCTGTTATGCCAGCTTTCAGTAGAGTTTTTAGTTTCCTGGTAATCTCTTTGAACCTGCTTCACGTATTCTATGTTTTCTCTATTTTCTTTTTTTTTTTTTGTCTTTTTCATTTTTATCGGTACCAGGGATTGAACTCACGACCGCCTGCTTGCAAGACAGGTGCTTATGCCACTGAGCTAAATCCCCAGCCCTGTTTTCTCTATTTTCTCCATCAAACAATTCTCCCTTTTTTTTTTCTGTTCTTCCTTTCCACATCTGTTTTTTCTTGGGCGGTGCTTAGCATTTTTCTTAACTATTCTACTTATATCTTGCTTTACTTCGTTAAATACTTCAGTTTTGAATTCGTCTGTGAGGCTCCAGAGATATTGCTTTATGTCTGTTGGTGCCGTGTCTGATATTGCATGTTTTCTGTCCTCATTCTCCTTTGCATTTACCTTTCCTGGATCAATGTTCTCAGGATTGGGGGCTGAGGACCCTTTCTTGTTTCTTCCTCTTCTCAGATTTTTTGTTCCTTCCATACAGGCATATATAGGAGGCCCAATTTCTTTCTTTGTCAGTTACAGTTTGTTTGAATCTCACTGGCTAGGTGCTCTTGCCCACTGCAGTGTACTAGGGAGACACAGACCTGGGCAGCTTCTGCTGGGCCCGTCTCTCCAGGTCAACCTACTGAAGGCTTCACTGCTAGGGTGCACTGCCAGGCACTGGGACCTGGTTTGGGCTAGCCTACTGGGGTCTTAATCCACAGCATCACCCAGGTCAGGGCTCGCTACCAATCCCGCTTGAGAAGGGAATATGTGACTAAAGTCACTGCAGTGTCCTGTTCTGGTTAGTCTGCCCTGTCCCAGAATGTCCTCTGTTGGAGCCTCCTAGTCTATGAAAGGGTCCCCGTTCTTCTCACTCACTGGAGGTCGATGCAGGGCTCCCCGCCAGTCCCGCTTTCAACTCCAGTTGATTTGCTGATTCCCGCTCTCAGAGGTTTCGTGTCTCTCTCCCTGCTGTGCTGGTTGAGATGCAGCAGCTGCAGCAGGAAATTCAAATTGCGGCTTCCAGAGGCACGGGTTCCAGCTTCCACGCTGAGATTTTATCTGTTCCTGTTACAGCATTGAGATTGTATCTCCAGTTGGTTTCTCTCAAGTTTAGTTGATTCTTGGGTTGGCAGGGTATATCTCCCCTTGCTTAGGACTCCTCACACCGTATCATTCCTAGATTCTAAGCTGGCAATCTCAGAGAGCCTCTGTGGCTGCTGTTATCTGTCTGCCATGTTCTCCCAGAACAGGAATATAAATTTTAAAACAGGCGCAGTAAATGGAAAAGGCCCTGTGTCCTAATTAGATTCTTTCTTATTCTTCTTCATTTTTTCTTAAAAAATATCTTATTATAGAAAAACATTGAATGTACAGAGAATAGTATAATGGACTCTACATGATTACTCAGCTTTAAAATTACTGGTGTTTAGGGGCTGGGGATTTAGCTCAGCGGCATAAGCGCCTGCCTTGCAAGCAGGCAGCCGTGAGTTCAATCCCCGGTACCGATAAAAATGAAAAAGACAAAAAAAAAAAAAAAAAATTACTGGAGTTCCAACAATTACATTTTGCTTAGCTTCTCCCCTCGTTTTATTGGAGTGTCTTAAATCTCAAGTATTGTATCACTATAAAAGTTGTTTTTCTTTTCAATAACTTCTTAGAAATATAATCAGAACGCCACTAACATACCTACAAAACTGAATAATTCCTGAATATCCAATATCTGTCCCTGTTCAGTTTTCTTCACTTACCTCAAAAAATATCTTCCTAGAACCAATTTGCTCGAATCAGGGTTCAAACAAAAGTCCACATTTTACATTTGGTTGCTACATCTTGTAAATCTTTCTCAATCTATGCTACTTCTCCCACCTTTAAAAACCACGTTGCTATGTGATGATAGATCTAATGTAAGGACTTTTGAAGGTCTTGATGAATATGAGAAACCTATATAAATGAATAATTATATGTATGTCCTTTTGTCCATTTGCATATAAAATGTCTCACAACTAAACCGTTTCTTTGAGCTTTCTACTCTCTGTAATTCTAAATTGGTGTGCTGGGATTCTGAGTGTAAAGAGGTATCATCTGCATAGTTGCCATGTAACAAAGTGTTTGCTGAATATACCATAGGTAGCCCATCAAAGTTTTATAGAAAACGATATAAAGAAGTTAACTTTACATTTTTTTTTTATGAATTTATCCTGTTTAGAACCTCCAGGATTTATAAATCTTACTTCATTTTCCCTTCATGTCTTGAGCAAAATCGACATATTCTACTATTCTGTATTGTTGCTGACCCTTTATACAGTGCTGGGTAAGTAAGTTAATAAATTTGAGATTGTGAAGAATTCTTCTAAACAATATGTTGCAAATTTTGATAACAGAATAACTTAGACTCATGGAGGTATAATAAATGACACATGAGTCCTTATTCCCTGATGTAGGGTTTTTTGAAATACATTACATGTTTAAAATGCATTTAGAAGAGTTGAAGATAGCATACGGGAATGGGAAAAGTAAAAACAGCAAGACATACCTTGTGCAAATATAAATTCCCTGTGATGATGTTATCAATATGTATATCTAAGATCTACAAAAAAATTATGCTTTGATTTTGTGACTTGAGCAACTAATTCTAAGATAATAATATATAATTTATCAACTAGTGATTTCTTACTGTTTTTTTGAAATTCTGTATTCTATTTTTTGTTTTGCTTTTTTTCTCTAAATAAAAAAAAAATTTTAAAAGGAGCAGTAAACACCAACTTAGAAGTCTTTTTTTTTTTTTTTTTTCCTTTCTTTTTGAGACAGGGTTTCACTCTATAGCTCAGGCTGGCTTTGAACTTGCACCAATCCTCCTGCCTCAGTCTCCCAAGTATTGGGATTACAGGTGTGCACCACCACAGCTAGCATTTTCTATCTTTCTTCTTTTTTTTTTCTTCAGTCAAGGTTTGCTATATAATTCAAGCTGGCCTTGAACTCACTGTAGAGCCCAGGCTGGCCTTGAACACATCTTCAGCCATCTGAGTGCCAGGATTACAGTTGTGTACCACCTCACCTAGTGAGTCAACACCAAATTAACATAAGGGTGCTGAGAAGATTATTGAAGAATTGTTAGATAGAAACATAGTAGAAGATTGAATTTCAGTTTAAATGCTACCTCCTCAGAGTAACCTTCTTAGAATGCCTTAAAGTTTTACCCTCTAGTTTATCACATTTTTATTTTCTCCATTAAGCACAATACTTTGTCCATAGTTAAGTGAATATTTAGTAATGTGTGTTTCTTAAAAATGTGCATCAAAAATGAGAGAAACTGAGGTGAGCTGTGAGTTCAGGCATATCTGAGATTATCTGTTGGGCAGATTATTATGACCTGTACTTTTTTTGTACAGTTCTGTATATCTTTTTTACAGCGTCTCAATGTCATTTTGTACAGTACACCTTGTTTATACAGTACTGTTGTTTTTGCCAATTGAACTATACAATAGAGTTCTGTAGTTTTATGTTGTTATATATGACAGTATTGCATATAAAGTTATGCGAATAAAAGCCAAGCTAGCTGTGGAAGAAAGTACAGCAAGTTCTTTTAGACTTACTCAGTTTCCTCAGAGACTAAAAGTCAACTAGGAGTAGTTTGTCTTTTTTTTTTTTTTTTTTTTGTTATTGTCTTTGAGATAGGGTCTCACTATGCAGTTCAAGTTGGCCTTGGGCTCACTTTGTAGCCCAGGCTGGTCTCAAATTTGCAATGATCCTTCTGTCTCAGCTTCCCCAGTGCTGCAATTACAGGAGTGCGCCACCATGCCTGGAGAGTTTATCTATTGTTACCTAGTCTTAGTCTTTGTTTTACAAATTGGATTTTGCTTACTAGTAATTTTTACCAGAGAATAAACTAAAAATATGACGCTATGTTTTCATATGACAAGCAATAACATGTGTCTTTTGGAGATAAATTCTCTTGTTAGAAGTTGAAGATGTTTTTGACACTTGTTTTACAGTAGGGAGCAAAGCAAATAATTTGGTTTCTGTGTTGGGAAAAAAGTTAAAGGGGCAGAAGTTGTTTTATTCAAAAAGTTATAATGTATATATAAGAAAATTGCCTATGACTTTTTAAAGAGAGTAAATTATGATATTTGCATTTTGAGAGAGGAAGTTTGACTGTCTCTTACTAGTTTTGACAATGTAGTAGTTCCAGAAACCCAGACATTAAGAAGGGGCAGTAAATAATAATGAAAAGCAAAGAAAATTCAGCATGATGTTCTACTTGAAAAATTAAAAAAAATTTAAATTGTTCATGTTAATACTGATTATACAGTTGCTGTACAAAGCACAGGTATTCCCCACTTAATGACTGTTGTAATCAGGGGTTGCAAGGAGAACAGTTACATACACGACACAGAATTTATAGTATTATTTTATGATGATCACCCAGAGTTAAATACATGAAAGTGCAGGAAATCTGTCCACAACACTAAAGACCTAGAAAATCCAGCCAAGGGCCCAGATCCTATAACAGTGTCCTGCATGAGTCCAGCTGAAGACCTAGAGCTCAAGACAATGCCTCCTGCAAGTCCAACTGGAGGCCTAGAGCCCATGACTAATGCAAGTCTATTTAAAGGATCTGGGTTCCGCAGTACTGTATCTTCAGTTCAGGCTGCTCACTTGGCCTTGTGAGCTGCCACAGCCATGACCAGCCAGTCTCAAGGAATTCAGCAGCTACTGCTAGCTGAGAAGTGGGCCGTGGAGAAGGTGTCTGAGGCCCGCAAGTGAAAGAACTGAAGACTGAAGCAAGCCAAAGCAGCAGCTCACGCTGAGATTGAACAGTACTGCCCGCAGACAAAGAAAGGATTCAAGGCTAAGGAAGCTGCGGCCTTAGGATCCCATGGAAGCTGAGCCGTGAAGTGGAGAAGGAGACCAGGAGAAGATGGCCGTCCTCCAGAGCTACTTCCAGCAGAACAGGGAAGAGGTCCTGGATAACCTCTTGGCCTTTGTCTGCGCATCCGCCCAGAAATCCATGAAAACTACCACTTCGATGGATAGAAGAAGCACCTATTCTGTGGATTGGCATTGGAGATGCCCTCATGGAATATGAAGCTTTAGCAAAGTCTATTTCTATTCTTATGAAATGCATTAAATTATTTCTTGTTCTGTATAATAATAGTTCCCTTCACTTTTGGAGAGTAGCATATCTAACTTCTTTGGACTAACATGGACCTTTTCAAAGATTTCATCTTTTTACCTCATATTTCTTAGAAATGTAATGAATATAGATTGCCTGTTTTCCTGTACCTTTTAGCTCAAGCAACATAATATCAGTATTGACATTTTCTTTCTTAGATTTAGTAGGAAGAAAAACAGTTCTTTTTTTTTTTTTTTTTTTTGTCTTTTTTTGTCTTTTTTGTTTTTATCGGTACCAGGGATCGAACTCACTACTGCCTGCTTGCAAGGCAGGCGCTTATGCTGCTGAGCTAAATCCCCAGCCCCAAAAAACAGTTCTTAAAGGAAAGGATGAAATAACTTTTTTCCCATTACACTTTCTTGAAGGTCAGTGGCTTTATCTATGAAAAAGTAGTAAATAGTTATCTTCAACTTGTGTGAAACAGCAATCAGACTTAAAGTAATATATTCTGAGGAAGGATTAGAACAATGTATATGAATATACCTGCTTAGGCTGCACTTAGTTTTTTTTAAACAAAATTACTAGATGAGCTGGGTGTGGTGGTGCATGCCTGTAATCCCAGCACTCAGGAAGCTGAGTAAGGCTGGAGGATCATAGTTTGAGGTCAGCCTGGGCTACATGGTACGATACAAGCCTGCCTGGGCTATGTCGTGAGACCCTGTCTCAGTGCAAAAGAAAACAAAACAATTTACTAGATCATAAGACTCAAGAACTTGTTTTTTGGTGTACCAATCATTTCCAAGTAAAAGTAAAGACTTTGTCATCCAAAAAAAAAGAAAAAAGGTCTGCACAGGGAAGGTCCAGAGGTCAGCAAAGGAAGCTAGAAAGTCTCTGCCAGTGAGATGAAGGATCTGTGCCAGTAGTTTGAGGGTTCTACATTGGAGACAAGAAGCAATGTTCAAAATAAGGACCAAGGCTCCTTCGAAAAATACCACAGCTGTCCTCAGTGACAATGAGATCCCAAGCTCCTTGGATGATGAAAACATATCAGGAAGCCAGCATGACAAAGTTCTGGAAATTAAACAGCACACATTTTCCCCTCTGAAGCCATGAAGCGATGCTCAATGTAAGAACTAGAGCTCCCTCAAAATGAACCACAGTCACTCTTAGTAAGTCTTGAGCTCTTCCAATAGTGATGGCTGAATTCTTATCAGGGAAGCTAGCCATGACATCCTCCTCGAGGAGCACCAGTGGCTCCAAACAATATCATTTAGGAGAACTCACATGTCAACTTTTCTTCTCCATGTCTCATTTTATGCTGGCAACTTTCCTCAAGTGGGCCATCTATACTCAGCACCATGGTGATTTAATTCAGCTGATGTTAACCACCAGCTTTTAATCCATAACAATGACTGTTCAGAATTAATGACTGAAGTCTACTGTTCAGACTTGTGACCTGCCACTTGAACTCAGGACCTGTCCTTTTTTGTTGTTGTTGATTAAACTACAGAGTACTGTAGTTTTATGTTGTTGTTCATTACAGTATTACATATAAAATTATGCAAATAAAAGCCAAGACATCAATCAAATTGGAGTTTCCCTTGACCATTTCTTTGTTCTTAATATTGTAATATACATACTACTAAATAGAATTCCTCATTTAGGGGCCTAGTCACAAGAACAAAACTTGGTCATTAAACAAGGAATGTCTGTAATTAATGACTGTTGGTAAATGAGAAAAGTTACAATACATTCATTATATTAGTAAGAAAGAGTAGTACACGAGTGCTTGTTTTTCTTTTTTTGGTGCCGGGGATTGAACTCATGACCTTGCACTTAGCAGGTAAGCACTTGAACCAACTGAGTTAAATCCCTGGCCCCTGTTTTTGGGCTTTTTTTTTTTTTTTTTTTTGTATCAGGAATCAAATTCACAACCTCACGCTTGACAGGCAGGCTCTGTGCCAGAGAGGTATATCTCTGGCCCTTGTTTGTTTCTATATAGTTCAGCCTGGTCTTGAATTCATTGTGTAGTCCAAGCTGCCTCAAACTCATGTCAGTCTTCCTGCCTCAGCCTCTAAAATGCTGGGATTATAGGAATACACCACTATGCCGGGCCTCATGAGTGCATTATTATCAAAGTTGTTCAGGTTTTATTACTTTAAGGAGTAAATCTCAATTTTTATCTCAAAATTAGCTTCAGTAGAAGACTACTTATGTGCTTAAAGGAGATGCTAAAACATTATATTGAGGTTATTGCAGTAGAATATTTAAAATTTCATGAATGTGATGCAGTCTATTTTTGGAATATATAAGCTGCATATCTGTTTTACATAAAACATGTAGGGCCAGGGATTTGGCTCAGCAGTGTAAGCGCCTGCCTAGCAAACGCAAGGTCGTGAGTTCAATCCCCGGTACCACACACACACATAAAAAAGATAGAACATGTAATTGGACAATGTTAAAAACGAGACATATGGAGCAAACAGGATATCCAGTGCAACATAAAGGTTAGCAAGGAAAAAAGTGCTATGAAATGAAATGCGTACATATAATTAGTTATTATTCCTATCAGTGTCTCTCTGATATATGTAATCAAAGTCCTAGATATTTAACTTATTCCTTTTCTGTCCATTGCTTCTCTTAGGACCATGGTTTTTTGGTGAAATCATTGATGGCAAATTGGGCTGCTGCTTTTCATTTGGAATATTTGTTAATGGACATTTCCTTCAAGGCAATATGACATTTATAGTTGGAATTCTTCAGGTAAGAAGTCAGAAATACAATTTAGGAACATTTTGGCCTGGTTGGACTAACAGCATAACGTTATGAGTTAAATCCAAAAAAAAAAAAAAAAAATCTAAAGCTACCATAGATCATCGTTCTTACTTTATTTTCAGAGCAGTCTCCAATAGCAGATGCTTTTCCTTGCTTCATCTTTATTTCCACTACTCTTTTTTTTTTTTCTTTGTCTTTTTCCTTTTTATCGGTACTAGGGATAGAACCCACGACTGCTTGCTTGCAAGGCAGGCCCTTATGCCGCTGAGCTAAATCTCCAGCCCCTACTTCCGCTACTCTTGTGTAAACATTTAAAATACATCTTGAAATTCAGCACTGATAGACGTTTAAGAGGTGTTTGTGGTTTCATTGTTTTTTCATTAACAAAAAATGAAATAAGGGACTTATAGTCTAAATTATGCATCGCCAAGTAAACCAAAACTGATGATGAAAAAAGCCGGATGTGGTGGCACACACCTGTAATCTTAGCACTTGGGAGGCTGAGGCAGGAAGGTCGCTGGGAGTTTGAGACCAGCCTGGGCTACATAAGTGAATTTAAGACCAGCCTGAACTACACAGCAAGACTGTCTCAAAAACAAAACAACTGATTATGGAGGCTGGGGATTTAGCTCAGCGGCATAAGCGCCTGCCTTGCAAGTATGTGGTCGTGAGTTCGATCCCTGGTACCGATAAAAAAGAAAAAGACAAAAAAAAAAAACTGATTATGATTTTTAAAAAAGAAGGAAAATGGGAAAAAATAGACACACAAGAAAAGTGTAGGCCAGTGACATAGCTCAGTGGCACAGCACCTGCCTGGCAAGCACAAGGTCCTGAGTTTAATTCCCAGTACAAAAAGAAAACACACACAAACAAAATAATCTTATTTGAACAAGAAAAATTTGTTAGTTATTCAATTGGAAACTTCACTGGAAAAAAATCAGACCATGGCTTTCCAAAGACATTTTAGCAGGATTCTCATTTGGGAGATTGTGACATATAAAGTTTACATTTTATTCTTTTTTGTTTGTTTATTTGTTTGTTTGTACTGTGAATCAAACTCAGGACTTGGGCTTGCCAGCAGGTGCTGTGCTGCTGTGCTGCTGTGCTGCTGTATCCCTTGCCCTTAATTCTTTTCTAATATGTAAGTAGAGGCTGTTTACCACATTCTTATGTCAAGTGAAACCTAACTTACCAAAAGACAAGGTTTTGTTTTGTTTTGTTTTTTTGTAGTATTGGGAATTAAACTCATGACCTTGCATTTGCTGCTAAGCTAGTAGCAAGTGGCATCCCTGGGTGGGCACAAATATTATTTTCTTTATGTTTATGTTCATATTTTAGTCAATGATATGTTGGTAATGGATTTAATGTATTATCTAGGTCATGATTCCCATATTTATGTCTCTGACCTAGACCTTTTCACTGTACTTCAAGTCTGTGTATCCAATCGCCACTTTATATATTCTCTTAGATTGCTAATAGGCACCTATACTTAATACTCTGTCTCTTACAGAGACTTTTGTTTGCGGCTAAATTAGTGGTTCTACCCACATTCTCTTTTTTAAAAATTTTTGTCTTTCTGAGACAAGGTTTCACTGTGTATCCTCCTGCCTCAGCCTCTGAGTGCTGGGATTACAGGTTTGTACCACCGGGCCTGGCTCTACCCCCATTTTCCATGTGGTCCATTATGCTCAGCAAGTGTTGCCCTAAAGACATCGAAACATTTCCCACACTTCTTTCAACGGGCCCCTGTCCTTGAGGCTATCACAAGATACAGTTATCTTTTCAAAATTTTGTGCATTTGTTCTGTTAAATTGTAGGTTGATGGTGGATCTTTTTTTACTTGTTTACCAGTGTCTCCAGCCTAGAGTCTAGCAAAGTGCCTGCTACATGGAGAGTGCTTCGTAAATATTTGTTGAATGAATGAATGAATCACATAGCATCTAAATTGAATTATAACTTATATCTTCTAACCTGTATTTCAGTACTTATAATACTCCCTCAAAGAAAGAAAGAAAGAAAACCTGATACCCAAGTCCCTTCTTTCCTGCATCACCAAAAATATATACTGTCTGTTTGTGTGCATGCTCAGTTCACTTCAACTTAAACACTGGTGTCTACTGTGCATATGATACTGCAAGTGGGGCCTCAGCATGAGTAGCTACCTTTAAGAACAAAAAGTCACAGACATGTACATAGTGAACTGTAGATCAGCTGTAACTTGTGTTTTAGGTAAATATAACTGAGTCATTAAAGATCAGACTTTCTCAGATTGCACATCCTTAGGAGCCACCTATAATATCCAAACTCACCCTTCTCAGGGCTTGGCATTGAGCTAATGGTTCTGTTCTATTGCTTTTTCCAGCTGGCATTTTTTAACATCCCCTTGATGGCTTACCTGTGTTGGAGTTTGCTACAGCGATGCTTTGGTCAGAGCTTCAGGTCACATTTCCATCAAGGAAAATACTTGAAAATTATACCTGTTCACCTATTTATGCTCCTGCTATACATCTGGCAAGTTTATTCCTGCTACTTTCTTCATGTAACATTTGGCACTCTAGCTCTTTTAATTTCCCCTTTGCGGACCTGGTTGACACTGCTGACACCTGTACTCATTCGCTGTGTGTGGACACTGAACTCCACGGAGTTTGGAACCTTCATGGTGCAGTTAAAAAGCCATCTGAGCTCCTGAAGGCGGTTTCTGACCACTGGCAGCTGAGCAGAAGTCCTTCCTTTGCATCTGTAATCCAGGTCCCTGCCCCCCCGCTCTGTGTGTTAACTTCAAGGGGCTGCTGCTCCCTGAACACCTGGATGTTGGAGGGATTATTCACTACTGATTTCTGCGAAGTAGACTGCAGAAAGTATAAATAATGATTCTGGCTTTCCCTAAGGAGACAAAAAGCCCTAATCAAGGAGCGCCACAGCATAGGGACTGGATGCGTGCATGGCAGTATCTCAGGCCCAGTGTGTTTTTTAAGGTTATCCCTTGGAAAGCATCTAAAACTGTGCCTGGACTTCTGCGCTGTCAAGGACAACAGCGCCCTTGTGTGGACCAGTGGGAGAACCTGACTACACTTGAGATGTTAATTCCCAACCCTGTTTTCCCACAGGGTTATGAGTTTTCTGCTTCCTTGGTCGGGGGTGTTTTCAACTAATCAAATAAATGACGAATGACTAATTACAGACAAAGCAACACCTACTTGTGCTGTGGCCAGGCCTCTGGAGGCCAGAAGGTGGGGTTGGGGCGTGGCCGGTCGGAGGAAGGGGGCGTGTCTGTAGGCGGGGCTAGGTGGGCTGTTGCCGGAAGCGAGCGGGCAGCTGTGGTACCGGAAGTGCGGCGGCAGCTGCGGTGCTGCTTGTGCAGATTTTCGGTGGTCCTCTGAGTGTAGCGCTGAAATGGCTAGCACGGCTGCACCCGCTACCTCAGCGCCCGCCCATGCCCTGTCCTTGGAGCAGCTTCGGCGCTTGGCGGCGGAGCTGCGGCTGCTGGCGGCCCAGGTGCGGGGTGAGTGCGTCCTCTGGAGAGGCTACGACCGGGCGGCTGGGGATGGGGAGGGAGCGACGGGCAGGGTCGGCGCGGCTCACCACTTGTCCTCTCGCCACCGTGGGCTCCCACCCTACACCCTACAGTCGGCGAAGCCCGGGAAACCCCCGAGAAGTTCGATCGGGAGAGGTTTTGGAGAAGACTCAGTGAGTGCTGCACCCGTCTGGGGCCCCTTCGTTCACCCCACCCTTCTCCCTGCCCCTCTCCCTGCCACATCCCTGCGGTGGTGAAACTTCTCGCTACCCCTCCTCTGCATTGGATGGGGCGGGAATGTTGGTTTTTTTTGTTTTGTTTTGTTTTGTTTTTGTTTTTGTCTTTTTCTTTTGTATCGGTACCGGGGATGGAACTCACGACTGCGGGCTTGCAAGGCAGGCATTTATGCCGCTGAGCTAAATCCCCAGTGCCGGAATGTTGGTTTTTAGAGGTATTTTTTGAGATATCTAGACTGATAAGTGTGGAGAAGGGACGCGTGACCTTCAGAGTCTGCGGCGGCTTTATTTAGGCTTCAGCACTGACTTGGACACTTGCCTCCTCCCCTGCCTTCCCCAGACGAGGCAGCAGTGACAGTGGCAGGGGAAGCCACGACTCTGACCACAGTCTTCTGTCGACCACCGCTACCTTCTTCACAGGTGAGCTTCATTTCACTGCAGTCCTTGTGCTGCTCCTTCATTAGGAATCTCTTCCTTTTCTTTCCATCTTTGCACTCAAGCCAAGAGATTACTTTCTTGAGATTATAGTTCTTACCGCCCAGGATTGTTGTGAAAGCAAACCGACAGTGCCTGTCACAAAAATAGGCTTTTCATCTCAAATCAAGCTGAAGTTCAGCCTCATCGACTTTCTGGTGACTTTTTAAAGATCTGTTTGTAGGTGTTTTCATATACAATACATTATCCCCATTTGACAAATATGCAACTGCACCCACAGGTTCGGGTTAAGATTAATAATCAGAGGAGGTTAAATTTAAACAAGATCTGATATTGTATTCTATGTAATTCTCTTTGCTTTGAAATTTTTAATTTAACCAGTAATGTGGATATAGTGTAAAAATCAAAGGACATCAAAATTAAGTGTGCTAAAAAATTTGTTTTGCTATTCCAGTTCATTTTTTGTCTCTCTCCCTCTTGCCATTTATGTTCTTAATATACAGTATATTTTGTGGATTTACACATTTCTGTATGTTTACATATGTATGTCTGCTTTCTACACATATAATCAAATACTATAAATACTATTCTGGCCATTTAAAAAATAGCAGTACTGCTTGGAAGTTGATTTTTATTTATTTTTTTTGGAAGTTGATTTTTAACTGCATGTAAAAAGTCAGTTATTTGTAATGGTTGCTTAATATTCAATAATGACTGTACCTTTAGTTTAAACAGAAATTTATGTGGACATTGAAATTGTTGCTGACTTGTAACTGTCAAAGCAGGTACTGAGAATTACTAAATACAGTCTTTGTGTAGAAATGTATATTGTAGAAAAATTCCCAGAGATGAAATTGACGGAACAGAGGAATTTATAAATTTTAACAACCATTTATTATAAAACTGAAAGATATTGGTTGTGACTAGACATGCCTTATACTCACTTTTTCTAGAGTAACATATGTTTAAGAATTGAGGTTATTAAAAAATTGAGCATTCATTATCTTGATTTTTAGTCAGTAGCCTCAGGCTCTATTCAGATGTTTTGAAATTTTGTATGTACAATGATTTAAAAAAAAAACTTCCTGGACTTCCGGGAAAACATGGCGGACAGATAACAGCAACTACCAGAGGCTCTCTGAAAGACTCAGCTCAGAAGCCAGGAATGGTGCGGACTAAGGAGACATAAGCAGGTGGAGATATGCTCTGTTGACTCAGGAACGATCTGGGCTGAGAGAAACCAACTTGGAATGCAGTCCTGGCGCTAAAACAGGAACAGAAAAGCCTCGGTGTGGAGGCTGGACCCCGCGCCATTGGAAGCCGCGATTCAGGTTTCCCGCCGCGCGGCGGCTGGCTGCCTCTACAGCGGCTCGGCAAGGAGAGAGACGCGCAGAAGCTCTGAGAACAGCAATCTGCAAACGGAGTCAAAAACAGGACCGGCAGGGAGGCGTGCACTGACTTTTGGTGAGGTGAGTGAGAGAAACTGACACTCTACCACAGTTTGACTCCAGCGGAGGACTGTCTGGGCCCGGCAGTCCTGCAGGAGCAGGGCACGGTGGCGACTCCAGCCACACATCCCCCTCTCGGGCGGGATTGGTGAAAAGTGCCTGGCCTGCTTGATGCTGCTGGCGGACCCGGTAGGCTGGCCCAACCCAGATCCCAGAGCCTGATGGTGGCCGGGAGGGGCGACCCCCACGTAGGCTGCCTGGTCTGGAACTTCCTGGTGTGCTGCGGTGGGTGGGAACACCTAATCAGCGCAATTCGATCAGGCTGTGGCTGACAGGGAGAGAAGCTGGGTCTCCTATATAAGCTTGCATATATAAGGAACAGAGAATATGGGAAGAGGCAGCAACAAGAAAGGCTCCTCGGCCCCCAATTCTGAGAAACAGGCAATAGCGGACACCACACCAATACACATAAAGCGCTATATAGAGAGCCTCATAGACCAATTCAGGAATGAAGTTATCAACGACCTGAAGCTAGAAGTATGCAGAATAGTTAGAGAAATGCTAAGCACCACCCAAGAAAAAACAGATGGTGGAATGGAAGAACAGAAAAAGAGGGGAGAATTGTTTGATGGAGAAAACAGAGAAAGCATAGAATACGAGAAGCAGATTCAAAGGGACTACCAAGAAACTAAGAAGTCTATCGAAGACTGGCATAACAGCTTGAAAGAAACTAAGGACAGACTATCTGAACTGGAGGGCAGACTTGTAATATGGGAGAATGAAATGAAAAACTTCTTAAAAATAACACAGAAACAAACAGCAATAATACAAAGACAAGAAGATGATAAGAGGATCCATAACTTAAGGATTAAGAACATAAAAGAAGAAGTAGGGACACAAACAAGTGAACTACAAAAGCTACTCACAGAAATAATCCAGGAGAATTTTCCTAATTTAGCAAAAGGTAAAGATACTCAGATGTATGAGGCATACAGGACCCCAGCTACCTACAACCCAAACAGAGCAACACCCAGGCATATAATAAAAATTCCAGAAATTCAATACAAGAACAGAATATTAAAAGCTGTAAGAGACAAGAAACAGACCACTTACAAGGGAACACCCATCAGAATTACAGCAGATTTCTCTGCACAAACCATCAAATCACGAAGAGCGTGGGGGGAAATAATTCAAGCTTTGAAAGATAATAATCTCTAGCCAAGATTGAGATATCCTGCACAACTGTCCCTGGAAATTGATGGAAAAACAAGGTGCTTCCAGGATAAAGAGGAACTGGGGGAATTTGCAACCACCAATTCAACTCTACAGAGAGTATTGCAGGATATTCTAAAAAAAGAAAAATACAGAGAATCCAGAAATAGTGGCGGGGAGGCCACAACGAATGGAGCAGAGAACAAAATGAAGAAGACAAACTGACAGCTACTGACAGAAAAAGAACTCAACAGAAATGAGGCAGAGAAGATTGGATGATAGGAACAGCTATTTTGGAGAAAATGACATCTTAATAGGTAATACTGATTTAGTATCATCTTGTTTTGAAGTCTCATCTAGCTTTTGTTCTTCTGTCTCCAATGGTCTAAACAGGTTGTATCTTATTGGATTTTATTATGTACGATAGTATAAGCAAAAACCTTTTAAAGACAAGGAGATTATACAGAAACCATTGTTCATTTTCTGTTAGTCGATTCTAAATACTCTGTAATGCTGTCATTCTCTTAAATGGTTTTACATTGTTTTGATATACTTAATGCTACAGTATACGAAGTTGTACTCAAGGATTTCAAGGAAAGAGACAATATGGTAACTACTTTTAGGTCAGGATTATCTGGTGGTGAAACACTATTCTGCTTAAATGGTTATGTTTTGATCTGTGCTGTTTCGCTGTTATGCCCTCTTTTATCTCAATCTCCACTCCATTATTTACTTTTTTATTTTTATCCTTTTAATTAAAGGAAAAAAATAGCAGAATATATTATAGTAACCCACTTTGACTTTACATTATCTCGATTTAAAGCCCTGTATTACTCTCACCATCTGGCTTTTAACTGATGTTCCCCTATTCTGTTTTGCTGGATAGTATCAGGTTCAAAAGTTTAGGCATCTGCTGTGAAGATAATGAGATTCATTATAACGCCCATTCTCGTTGACTTTTATCTACTTTTGAAGACCTAAAATGTCTCCGATGTTTTGGTTTTGTCGGTTTTATTCTTTACTGTTTTGTTCAATTGTATTATAACTAATGATATAGGCAGTTCTATTAGAGATAGCGGGAGGCATTATGGTAACCATTGTTGATCACCTTGTATTATGTTTTTACATTATCTATTATGTCCACCCTTTTGACTTGACCGATTCTGTTCTGTTATGTCACATTTGGTTTTACTCTCTTCCAAAAAAGTAATAAGAACCATGGGAGCAATGAAACCCATAATGTGTAATAGTCATTGTACAAAAGAGAGGAAAAGAAAGTGCTCTAAACTATATAACTGCATGTATATTTAAGTGTATAAGATAGAAAATGATATCACAGAGTTTTATTGGATCATTGAACAGAACTGTTTGCAGTATCATTGTTGGAATGTCCACTTTACAAGCTTTAATTTTGTGACTTGAACAATTATTTCTAAGATGACAATATGTAATCCATTAACTAGTAATTTCCTACTGTTCATTTTTTTTCTGTAAATCTGTATAACTTGTACCCTTTCTCTGCTTTTTTTTTCTTTTCTCCTTAAATAAAATGAAAAAAAAAACTTCCTGCATATGTTAAGAGATCTATGATGAGTAAATGGAATAAACTGTATAAGAGCATTTAAAAATTCATAAAAAAAGGTTTGTTTCAAGTAGAAAATCGTATTCTTTGATAAAAATCTGCTGCCTCCTTTCATTCAAATATATTTACAACTTTTTGCTGAAATTCAGTGAGTAAGAGCCCACAAGGAAAGCATACAACTGTTTTTCTATATATGCTTAGGACAGTAGTTCTACTCATAGGTCAAAATTTGAATTTGGTTTTATTGAAAATATATGTTAATTATATATTCAAGTAAGAGTCACAATTGCTTTCTTAGGATCTCAGCACTTTCTTCCTACTGAAGAATGTGTGTTTTGTTCTTAAAGTTCTAATTCTTGTAGACTGATATTATTATAGAATTACATGTTTGAATGTTGAAACAATAAGTTGACTTAAAAGTTTCATAATGCTTGCTCTCAGTCACGCTACTTATTTCATTGTACAAATTGGTAGCAATTTGTAGAGTGCTACCAATTGGGGCCGGTTTTACACAGCACTGGTTTAGTATTCAGCAGAGAATAGAAGTTGAAAGATAAGAAAGCCAGTGCCTGCACAGAAGGAGAATAGACAATACGGAGCAGTATCTGTGTTAGTTACCTTCAGTCTATTGAGAGACACAAACACACAGACCTGGTTCATGATTCAACACTGCGGTTAGCACACTTTTCCTATAAAAGTCTGGGTAGTAAATATTTTAGGCTTTGCAGACCAGCTTCTTCACTTTGCTCATGGGTTATAACTACGTAAGCCAGTGAGCATGCTGTGTCATGGTAACACTTTATTTACAAAAGCTGATAGTGGGCCTGATTTGATAGGCTATGCTCCTGGTCAGACGTGTAAATACCACATAGCATATCATGATTCTCTTGAGATATGTACTATAAATAAGTCTTTTGGGGCTGGGGATTTAGCTCAGCGGCATAAGCGCCTGCCTTGCAAACGCATGGTCATAAGTTCGATCTCTGGTACCGATTTAAAAAAAAAAAAAAAGAATAAGTCTTTCAAAAGAAAAAAAAGTCTTTCCTACTGTTTCTTAGTTCTTTCTTATTAGCCAATTTCTGGCTTCCAGCTAACTTTTCTTTAGTATGGGATGAATTTAGCACAAGGCTGCTTCATAGTAGTATTTGAGAAGATATTTGATGGTGCTGTACATACCACAGTAGATGAGTTAACCAAATTGATCTAATCCATTCTCCTGTTTTTAACCCTGAAATTGGTTCATCCCCTCGTAGGAAACCCAGAGGATCTGTGAGCAAGTCCATGCTGCCATCAAGGCACTTACTGCAGCATACTATTCACTTCCCAAGGACCAGGGTAAGCTGCTACATTTGTGGCCAGATCTTCAGTAACAGGATGTATGCATCATGTTGTGAGACTTTTTACCTTTGCCCAAGTTGAGCATGCAGCTTCTCCCATAAAATCCCATCGCAGACAATTTTATAGTAATCTCCTGTAATCATTGCAGCGTGCTGTGGTGCAGATGCTGTGCACCTGTGACTTCACATCTCTCCTGTCTTGCCTGACTCTTAAGGCTTCTAATTCTCACTGGCTCTTCCCTCTTCAGTACTTTGTAACTGCTGCAGTAGCCGGCTGAAGCTCAGCTTCATAAACAAGTCAGGCTGTCCCTGTTCTTCCTTCACCCATATCACACCCTATTTTCGAACTCCTTCATAAGTAGAGTGGACTGCCCGTAGTTTTATGCCTTTATTATAATCATGCTAAAATGATAAACGAATACATGTCATAGATGTTCAGGGTTGTTTACAAATGATTTAAACCTCAAGTGTTTTATCCACAGTTTCAAGGGATACCTGTCCTTAATGGGTGAATACATGCTATTGTGGAAAACTTGTTTCTTTTCTCTTGGACAGTGGCTCTAAGGGCCAGGGATTTAGCGCAGCACCACCAGTGCCTGTGTGGCAAGTGCAAGGTTGTGAATTTAATCTCTGGTACGAAAAAAAAAAAAAAGAAGAAGAAGAAGTTTTAAGGACTAGTGGGGAGGAGGAAAAGAGCACAGCAATTACCTGGGGATATAAAAAAAGAAGTGATTATTGTGTTGGGACTTCATCTAAAGCATGGAGATGTCCGTTACCTCATAGTTCTGTAGTGCTTAGACTCAAGAAAGCAGCTGGTGACTAATGAAAAGAAATTCAGACTGCCTACCATTTGGGGTTGGCCACAGGGATCACCCTGAGAAAGCTGGTTCGGGGCACCACTCTGGACATTGTGGATGGCATGGCTCAGCTCGTGGAAGGACTTCTCATCACTCCAACTCAGAGGTAGTGAGGCTACTATGTGGGGTGACTTTTTTTATTATTATTTTTTGAGGCAGGATCTCACTCTGCATTCCAGGCTGGCTGACTGGCTTTGACCTCATGGTGATCCTCAGCCTCAGCCTCCTGAGTGCTGGGATTACAGGCATGTGCCATTACACCTGACTTGTGGGGTGGTAATTAATGGACTTCTTTGATTCTGGAGGAAAAGCTTGTCTGTCAGCAGTTACTAATAGCCAAGAATAAGGACTAGTAGGAGTTTATTCATAAGAAGCTAGGTTATTGATCTATCCTTTTTGATTCCTTTCCTCAGCCCTGAGAACAGTACCCTTATTTCCTACAACAGTGTCTGGGTTATGTGCCAGCAAGTTCCTCAGATGCCAAAAGGTGAGTAACAGTGGGGAAGTGGGCTGTTGCCTATTGACCAAAGCAGGCAGATTTCTGTCTAGCTTCCAGCTTGGTAGCATGTATGTATTTTAAATTCTATAGAAAGTTTAGTTTAGTTTTGAACAATCTCCACACAGAATTCCATAGTGGTTGTACATCAGTAGTGTACAAGGGTTCCTTTTTCCCCATAGCTTTGCTTTTTTTTGCCGTCCAGATTGATCTTGAATTCACTACTCACTTGCTAAGGCTGATCTCAAATCCTCTTGCCTCAGCCTCCTAATTGCTGAGATTACAGGTGCACACTATCACACCTGGCTAGCCTCACCATCCTTGATGATGACCGTTCTTTCTGGAGTAAGATGGAATCTTTGTGTTTTTTGGTGTTCTGTTCTGTTTTGTTTGAGACAGGGTTGCTGTAATTCAGGCTGGCCTTCAACTCACTGTGTACTCCTGTTGGCCTCAAATTTGTACAATCTTCCTGCTTCAGCCTCCCAAGTGCAAGGATTATAGCCATGCATGACCACACTCAGCTATCACTATAGCTTTGTAATATAATTTGAAGTCCAGGATTCTGTTCTTTCCTCTCATTCCCTAAATTATTCCTTTTTGTGGTAAACAAAAAACTTTTTAGTCCTCTGCCTGGGTCAGAAGAGTTTTAGTTTAAACCACCTCTCTTGTTGACCTTAATGTTATCTTCAAAAGAAAGTTTAGATTGTCCTTTGCAGTCTTAAAAGAGTCATTGGGTTTCTCCTCTAATTCTGATTTTTTTTGATACCGAGGATTGAACTCATGACTTTGTGCTTGGCAGACAGATGCTGTGCCGCTGAGCTACATCCCTGGGCCTAATTCTGATTTTTTACTCATAGATAACAAAGCTGCAGCTCTTTCAGTGCTAACAAAGAGTGTGGATTTTGTGAAAGATGCACATGAAGAAATGGAGCAGGTGAGAGACTCTTTCTATACTTGTCATTGGGGGGGTCCCTCCATGACCAGGAGACTCGCTTATAAAAAAAGGAGATTGTCTGAGTGCTGACTGAATAGATCCTATTGTCACTCCTGTCATGTATCTTCTATGTCTACTCCCTGCTAGTGTGCAGTTTAGTACCACTCCTTTGTCCTGTTATTGAACAAGGACAGTGAAAACAGTTCATGAAATGACTCAGCTTGTAGTCATTTGTGAGGTAGCTGGCTGAGGTTTTTGGAAAACTTAGTTATGGTGCTAAAAGTATAAAAGCTTTTGTGTATGTGTTTACCATGGGTCATGATGTGTGTCTCAGGCTGTGGAAGAATGCGACCCTTATTCTGGACTCTTGAATGATTCTGAGGAAGGCAGTGCTGAGGAGGAAGTGTTGGGGTTTCCGAGCAATCGGGATGTATATTGGTCTGAGGAAGATCAGGAGCTCATAGTCCCGTGCCTCGCACTAGTGAGAGCGTCTAAAGCCTGCCTGAAGAAAATCCGGATCCTAGTGGCAGAGAATGGCAAGAAGGATCAGGTGGCTCAACTAGATGACATTGTGGACATTTCTGAGGAGATCAGCCCCAGGTAAGCGTGATCCTTGTTCGGAATAGAGGAGCATTCTCATCTCAGCTTATGCTAGCACCTCAAGGTTTTCCCTCGTTTTTTTGTATTTTGAAAATTCAGAAAGTTTCAAAAATACTTCAGAGAATACCTCTATGTTTTTCCATTTGGATTCACCTATTGTTCACAAGGTTTTCTTGTACTGGTATCAAAAAATAGATGTATTTTTTTTCCTAAACCGTTAGAGAATTAATTGTGGACAACAATGGCATTTCACCCCTAAATACTTCAGCATTTATCTCTTAACAACAAAAACATTCTTTTTAAGACAGTGTCTTCCAGTATGGTTCAGGCTGGCTTTGAGCTCACTTTGTATCCCAGGGTGGTCTTGAACTTCCAAAGATCCTCCTGCCTCAGCCTCCCAAGTGCTAGGATTACAGGCGTGTGCCACTACTCCTGGCTTAACAAAAACATTCTTACTGTCACAAAAAATTTAACACTGACTGTAATACCTAATACTTAAATTTCTCTGTCTCAAATGTCTTATGTAAAGCTAAGGTTCCATAAAGATTTCACATTACTTGTGGTTGTCATCTCCAAATATTCTTTAGTCTCTTACAATCTAGAACAGTCTGTATCATCTTTTTTGACATTGAAGTTTAAAAAGAAAACACGATATTTTCATGTAGACTAACAATTTGGATTCAAGCAATATATTCTTATGATTATAGTCAGGGTAAACATTTTTTGACAATATCAAATAGTGGAGTATTTTGTGCTTCTTTTATCATACTGAGGGGTAAATTGCGTTAGTTGGTCACATTACTGGTGGTAGTAAATTTGATCATCTGATTAAAGTTGCACCCTCCACTGTAAGGATACCTTGTGCCCAACAATTTTAGCTTCCTGATGAACTCAACCTAGGTCAGTTACTAAATTGATGGTTTTAGATTAATTTGTGTGTGTGTGTGTGTGTGTGTTACTGGGGGCTGAATCTAGGGCCTTTATAGTGACCTATGTACCTGGCCTGTCTGTCTATCTTTTTTTTTTTTTTTTTGTCTTTTTCCTTTTTTTCAGTACCAGGGATCGAACTCACGACTACCTGCTTGCAAGGCAGGCGCTTACGCCACTGAGCTAAATCTCCAGCCCCTGTCTATCTATCTTGAGGCAGGGTCTTGCTAAACTACCTTGGCTGCACTTAAACTTGTGATCTTCCTGTCTCAGCCTCCCAGAATTCTAGAATTATAGGCATATACTACTATATCCAGGAGCTTAGATCCTCATTGTTTTGTTTTGTTTTTGAGATAGGTCTTGCTCTGTAATTCAGGCTGGCCTTAAACTCATTATGTAGCCCAGGCCGGCCTCAGCCTTCTGTCTCAGTATCTTGCGTGCTGGGATTGCAGGTGTGCGCCACCACTTCCAGCATAGATCCTCACAGTTTTGACTGAACTGGTCATCTCCACCCAGTGAACCAAGCACATCCCTCTGCTGCTTTCCTAGTGAAATACTTAAACAGTAAACACTGGGTGAATTGATTCTGCATTGGTTGCCTACATACTTAGTTTATGGAATTAATATGCGTCTCTGGGACAGATTCTCCTTTTATTCATAGTACTGGAAACATGTAGTTGAACTTCATTCCTGTTAATGATTATTTTTGCTTTTTACTCTCAGTGTGGATGATTTGGCTCTAAGCATATATCCACCCATGTGCCACCTGACTGTGCGAATGAATGTAAGTACCAACTCTGAGGCAATAGTTACAGACCCTGCTGGTAGAATTTCACTGATCATTAACATTTCCTATAATCTGTGGGGGAACATATTTATTTGTAATACTTAGATGCAGGCACAATAGTAATTTCACAGTTCTTAGATCTTTTTTTTTTTTTTTTTTTTGGTACTGGGGATTAAACTCATGACCTTGCACTTGCCAAGCAGGCACTTAAGCCACTGAGCTAAATCCCCAGCAATGTCACAGTTCTTGCTTGTATTTGTGCATGGTAAACATTTACTGAAGTCAAATTAAGATAGCCTTCAACTTTGATAGTTCTCTCTTCCATAATGACTTGAGTGAACATTTAGAAAAGTCCAACATTCTTAGGAAATCATGCTTTGGAAAGCAAATCGTAATTATACAGTGCTTTAGGAATCTCTGAGCCTGAAGGCTCAAATTTATAATTTGTAGTATAGGCAGAAAACGTTCCAGGAATTTACTCTGCTCTGGAGTTGTGATACAAACACACTGTATCACTCTGCCATGGAGAGTCAAGCTCTTTACCAAGTTCTGTTTCAGGTTTTCAAGTGCTGAGCCATATACTACAGAGACGTCAGTCCTCTTATTTTTATAAACTCCATTTCTTACCTCTGATGCTTATTGGAAAAAGTCAAATTGCTAAATGGTTTATGTTTTACAATGTGATTTGCTGGTTCTGGTATTTGACAAATTAGTTGTGGAATATACATCAAATATGTATTCATGATGTATAAACACTCTGAAGTAGAATAGAATTCCTTTTGGGTGTTAATTTGTTTTTCCTTGTTAACCTTTTTAAAATTGTGGTAATGTATTATTTTTTCATGATGAATCTGAATCTTTTTTTTTTGATATGAGGATAGGATTCATGACCTCATGCTTACCAGGCAAGTGCTTGAGCCACTGAGCTAAATCCCCAGCCCTAACTTTTTAAAAATTGATTTTGAGAAATAAGTGTCAATCAGGGGACAAAAATGGTACATATATTACACATTGTCATATCCAAATCACCTAGCCAGAGCACAAAACATCTGCATTCAGTTGTTCAAACAATATCGGCCCAAATCTATCTCTTCAGTGACCTCAGAGAAATCTAACTATCTTAACTATTTTTTTATACATATATACATATATTTGGGTTTTGTTTTTTATATTGTTTATATTTATATTTTGTTTGTTATATTTGGGTTTTGTTCTTTTTGGTACTGGGGATCGAACTCATGACCTCCAGCTTACCAGGCAAGTGCTTGAGCCACTGAGCTAAATTCCCGGCTTTATACATGTTTTTCCTTTCACCTTGTCACACTAATGAGAATATGTTGTTTACACATAGGTGTGTTATTTATTTCACTAATGAGTATGGTCTCAATTTGCATCCATTTACGTATAAAAGTCTCCAGTTTATCCTTTATGGCTGAGTAATACTCCAGTGTATAAAAATACCACATCTTTTTTATCCATTCCTCAGTTGATGGGTTATTTAGGTTATTTACAAGATTTAGCTGTTACCAATTCTGATGCTGTAAACATGAGTGCACATTTCTGTGGAATGATGTTTTTAATTCTTTTGGGAGGATGCCCAGCAGGAGAATAACTGGTTTGAATGGGACATGTAGTCCTAGTTTTTGAGGAATTTCCACAGTGGTTGCACCAGTCTACATTCCCACTAACAGTGAGAGAGAGTTCCTTTTTCTCCACAGCATTTGTTAATTGCTTGATTTCTTAATAATAGCCATTCTTTCCAGGATGAGGTGAAATCTCAGTGTTGTTTAATTTGCATCTTTCAAATGATCAGAGATGTTGAACATTGTTTTGCATATTTATTTGCTATTTGAATTTCTTCATCTGAGAAATGTATATTCATTGTAGATGCCTGTTTTTGGATTGGGTCTTTAAATTGAGAGGTCTGAAAAAAAAATTGAGAGGTCTCATTTTTTTTTGAGTTCTTCATATGTTCTCAGTAGTAATCCTTTATCTGAGGAAGAGGTGGCAGGCATTTTTTCCCACATTGTGGATTGTCTCTTCACTCTGTTGGAGGGAGGTTTTTCTCTTGCTGTACAAAAGCTTTCAATAGGGTAAGAGGGGCTACATAATTCTTGGCTCAAACAAAAATTAAAAAAGGAAAAGTATAATCTTATACCATAACTTAATCAACATTTTTGTTTTTGTATACTCAAGATTCTTTTTTTAAAAAGTTTTAAAAATTATTTGGGTCTTTAAAAAATATTTGAGCTCTTTCCTTTATGACAGGGCTCAGTGTGAGTAATTATTCTGTTTCTTTTCTAGTCTGCAAAACTTCTATCTGTCTTGAGGAAGGCACTTGAGGTTACAAAGTAAGTATGAAGACTTCTCCTCTGGGCTTGTTAAGAATAACCTCATCTGTCTGCTTAGCTGGCTCAATTCTTAGCCCTGTTTGAAGCAGAGGAAGAGAATGGGTCTGGGTTTTGTTTCAGCTTCCATTTCTGTGAAGATGGTTTTTCTGCTGCAGTTTTTCCTATGCACCCTCCTGAGGGGAGGCTTTCCCTTGACACTTTACTAAGTTTAACTTTTTTATTATTTCATTGCTATCTGTGCCACTGAGTATTGAGCTACACCCCATCCTTTTTTAAATTTTTTACTTTTGTTTTTATTTATTTATTTATTTATTTTTGTCTTTTTCCTTTTTATCGGTACCAGAGATCGAACTCATGACTGCCGACTTGCAAGGCAGGCGCCTATGCCACTGAGCTAAATCCCCAGCCCTTTTGTTTTTATTTTGAGGCAGGGTTTAAGTCACTAAATTGCCCAGCTGGGCTCAAATTTATGATTGTTCTGCCTCCGCCTCTCAGAGTACTGGGATTACAGGAATGTGCCACGAACTGACTTTTTATTTTTTCCTCCATTTCATTTGCAGAGCAAGTCATGTGACCCCTCAGCCGGAAGACAGTTGGATCCCTTTACTCATTAATGCTGTTGATGATTGCATGAACAAAATTAAGGAACTCACGCAGAGTGAAATTGAACTATGAGTTTTCAGCTTCTTTAGATTCTCCTGTTTCCCTGTCACTGTTGCATCTGGGCTTTGATTCTGCTTTTAATAAAAGGACCTAGCAAGTGAAAAGGGAGTTCCTGTCTGCATTTAACAAGAAATTCTACTTCAGAGACTGTTGATTGGATCAGATTCGAAATTATTTATAAACCATATGAATGTGATATATTTGTTTGTGCTAGATATAAAAGATAATTGCATGAATTTGTGTTCCTGAATTGCTTTACAGAAGCCTAAGGAAGTTACTCTATTTCTTATTCTATTTCATATGTTGTTTCAGTTAAAAATGTTGATGGTTTTAATAAAATGCTAACCAGCTGATAGCAATTAAATGAGTACCCGCTTTCATTTGGGTTTGTGGATTTTAAGATCTGGTTATAATCAGATATGTATTTAGAATAAAAACACCTTAGTTATCTTTTTGGAGAAGATGACTTACAAGCCCTCTCAGTGTTTCAGCATGTTATATTATATTAGTAGGTCCTTCTGAATATTGTCTCAGGTTATTCAGTGCCTTTAACATAAATTGGTGTCGCACTCATTGGTTAGATTTGTCCATTTTATTGAACAGATTTGTTTTCCATACACCTACCTGAATCATTGTTCTGTCATATATTTACATGTGTTCTCAAATGTAAATACCACATTTTTATGAATCAAGAAAAGTTTATAAAAGAGCTTATGTAATTTTAAGGTATATCCTTTTGCAAACACCACCACTTAATTCCATTTTTGCATCCATCTAGAAGACCACATGCTGACGAGCAGGGTGCATCTGTACTGCAGCACTGTAGACTGTGCTCACCTGAGTGGGGCCGTCCACACCGCAGGTCAGTCTCCACCCCTGCACTGCACTGCACTGCAGGCCTTTTCCTTCTGCATTTGTCTTCCTGATTTCTCTAGGCATAGTCAGCACCGAGTCATTCTTTGGAGTAACAAGTGTAGATTTGGAATTGAAGTTCCTTAAGCCACATGAGTTTTAACCTATTTTTTAAGGGCATCAACCTGTGCTTTAAATCAGTGTCATAAAAAGAAGGAGTAGTTGGTTTCAAGAGTAGTGACGGAGCTGGAAATTTAAGCTGAAAATTCAGAGGCTACCACGGTGACACTTTGGTGGCTGGTGAGGTTCTGGAACATGTCGCAGTCCGTTTCCACAGCTAAAATTAAACTAGCACAATGCCCAAGCAACAGAATAATGTACACAGCAGCAGCAACAAAAATCCTTGCTTTGTTTGAAAGAAAAACTGTTCTTTACCCTTTGTTATTGGATTTTCTTTATACTTAATTTTTATATTCTCTACTGGAACATTAGTTGTGGTATCCTGAATGAATGGAGAACTCTAGTAAAAGTTTGTCCGCAGCTAACTAGACCATTCTGCTCTCAAGTCCTGTGCTGTGTATTTTAAACCTTTGTTCGGTCCATCTTTGGATCTTTAAGGATAAAAGTCACTGTAACATTAGGATCACCTAAAATTCCCACTGTTAGCTACAACCATCTTACTTCACTAGAAATAGACAAATGATCTAAATACTATATTAGGCCATTTCCCTTACGGTAGTTAAGGAGCAAAATAATGATTTTTTTTCTTTTTGTTTTTTTTGAGACAGGGTCTCGCTATACAGTTCAAGCTGGCCTTGAGCTCACTTTGTAGCCCACACTGGTCTCAAACTCATAACAGGCGTAAGCCACCACACCCGGCTTCAAAAAAATTACATTATTTTGAAAAGTTGTTGAATACCTTATCAAAAGCTTTTGTCATTCAAGCATTGTAGCTTCTATTCTAAGACAACTATTCTCAGTGGCTGAGGTGACAGAAATGAGCACATTTATCTATTGATTTCTAAGGATCTAGCTTTGTTGTTGGTAACTCAACCTAGAGACCCATTTGTCTGATAAACAAGGTTCCCTTCCCCAGCGTGTGTTTAGTTTTAGCCTATAGTTTCTTTCTTTTTTTTTTTTTTCCTTGTCTTTTTCCTTTTTATCAGTACCGGGGATCGAACTCATGACTGCCTGCTTGCAAGGCAGACGTTTATGCTGCTGAGCTAAATCCCCAGCCCCTAGCTTATAGTTTCAAGAGTTGGTTTCAAGAGTAGTGATGGAGCTGGAAATTTAAGCCGAAAATTCAGGGGCTACCACGGTGACACTTTTGTGGCTGGTGAGGTTCTGGAACATGTCGCAGTCCATTTCCACAGTGAGCCGGTGAAGCCCCAGCTGTGTTGGTGTGAACTGGAACCAGCTGCACAAGGTTTTTCCAGGCCGGACTGGACTTAATCTGCAATAAAGGGAAGAGCAGGTACTAATTCTGCTTCAGGTTCATTGCTGTCCTAGTCCCAGTGACCTTTGCTCACAGAGGTGAACCATGAGGAATAAACATCTAAGTACACTGCCATTAAGACAGAGGTGGTAGGGGCTGGGGATTTAGGTCAGTGGCATAAGCGCCCGCCTTGCAAGCAGGCAGTTGTGAGTTTGATCCCCGGTACCGATAAAAAGGAAAAAGACAAAAAAAGACAGAGGTGGTTACAAGCAGGCGCCTCCCCATGCTGAGCAACTGTGTACATGGTTCAGAGGGGAAGCCTCGTGAGGATTGCATCTGCTATTTTATGATGTGTGAGCCTGTCTGCTTCAGTTCTTAGTAATAGTACTGGAATATGTTTGGGAAGTGTCATAGTATGGAACCCTCACTCATTATTCAGCCCAGTGGGTATAGTAGGTGCACTGAGCTTGACAGTGTCAGAAAAGGAGATCTGGAGCCCTGTTGATCTCCTGAACTGCTCTCGACCTTTGGGTAACAGCAGGAGTGGTGTGGATTTCCTTTAGGGAGCCCTAATCCTTTCATTCAGCTTCTACTTACCTGTATCTCTTCTCTCTGTGAATGAGCCCCCTTCCAAAGATGGACATCTCACAGTCCTTCATGGCAGAATCTAAGGAGTTATGGATGCTGACTTCAAACCTGAGAGGTCGATACTGCTGGGTTACTTCTGGCATCTGTGGAAAGGGACAACACATGGAGCGAAGCCAAGGGCACAGAGCCATAGTCACACCTTCCCTTGACCTTCACCCCCTTCCCTCCTCAGTTGCATGACTCCCTCCACCTCCTGACCCCTGTCTTCACTCCTGACTTGTTCCCTTTTCTGTTGACTCCTCCTGTATTTCCTCTCACTCTCGACCAGCACTATCTTTGATGGCGCACTTCTGTGCTTAGGAACGCTTGAGGGCTTCCCATGCCTTTGCAGTTCAGCTCAGGTTGCCTTTGGATCCTCCATCCGGCCCCACCCTACTTCTCCCCTGTGCTTCATTTGACTGAACACCCCATCCACAGGAGGGACACCCTTCAGCTCCTTTCCTTTGCCTCTCTGTCTCAGTCTGCTTCTGTCTTTGGTGGCCCTTTCCTACTTTTATACTAAAAGCGTATCTAATTTCCAAGGCCAAGCATGTTACCTCCTTCATGGAACTGTCCCCGAACCAGCAGCTAGAGTTAGTCTTTATTTCACTTTTATCAGGGAGACCTCATACCTCTGTCATATCTTCACGTAGAAAATAAAGCACCACGTCTCTGATACTAAACTATACCCTTGAGGCCAAGGAGCCAGTCTAGTTCTTGTTGGCCACAGTAGTCTCACAAAGAGAGCTACACTAAGAGACATGAGCTTCTAGACCTTCCTACTTTTATGATGTTGGGCATGTTGCTCTCTAGGACTTGGGTTTCCTCATCTATCTCATGGAAGTGGCTCCTCATAGGGATTTTGTTTGTTTTCTCTTTAAATTTATTTGGGGTGAAATCCAGGGCTTCCTGAATGCCAGGCATGTGCTGTAACCCTGAGCCACACCTCCAGTCCCCCTATAGGTCTTGGCGAATGTATAAAATGCTAATAGACACAAGCTATGATCTTATCCCTCAAAATATGGAAGGAGCAACTGAGAAGGCTCCAGTTTTAGGAAACTTAACTAAGAATTTCAAAGATTCCAATCATAATAGTATGTGTAAGAACACATCTCTCTCAAACCTAGCAGAGTCTCTGCCCTGAAGCTTGAGGAACTCTAGTTCCTTCTGCAGTAGGGACCTGCAGCATCTCACTGCAGCATCAGTGAGAGTAATTGAGGGAAGATCTGGTGCCTACCGTGATGGCAAGGTGTGGTCTCCTGATGGCGATGTCCTCCTGAGCAAAGCAGCTCAGGCTGGAGGCAGAGTGCGTGGCCACCACAGTGAGTCTGAGGCAGCTGTTCTCAGGTAGATTTTGTTCAAAAGAGGAGGAGGACAGAATGATGTTTTTCTGATGAACTGAAACACACGATTGGTAGAGTTGGTACAGAGAGTTAAGTGTGAGCCCCAGAAAAGCAGCCATAGCTCCACATTTATGCAGAAGGCTCAGGGCCTCACTGAATCCTGAAAGATGCCTCATTCCCTTCAGCAACTATAAACTGCAATCACTCGGGCCCGCTGGATTCCCATCTCCACTGGCACTCTCAGTAGACCACTTTCCTGCGAGCGTCAGAGGCCATTCTTTGGGCCTCAGTGTCCTTCTCTATGAACAGTGGCATGGTTTGTGTTTAGGGAGACATGGCAAAGAAAGCACTTCTCACAGTCACTGCTGAATATGCTCATGTGGTTCCTTCCCAGTCACGGCTGCTGCTCCTTTTTGCAGAGAAAAATGAAGCCACCAAATATAAATCCTATCAGGCTCAGGCACCCATTCCCAACTTTCAGACACAGACATTCACCTATCTTGCCACTCATGCCCCATGAGGATGAAGTGTCCCCTACTTTCTAAACCCATTCCCTGTCTCAATGCATAGCGACTAGCTGTGCAACCTTGAGATTTAAACCCTGCATATCTTGGTCTCTTCATCTGGAAAGTGGGAGTAGTAATGGTCCTGCCTTGTGAGGCTGCTGTGGATGTGCTTGGCACCATTTTTGGCAAATAGTAAGTGCTCAGTAAATGTAAGCTGCAATCGTTCCAATTATCTCTTTACTAACCCCGGAACTGCACCATTATAATCTGTCTTCTCTGAAGCTCAGTCTTTCCCTCTCTGCTGTTTTCCTCAGCATGTGAGATTCAGCTCTCTCAAGGAAAAATAATCACCGCCACCACCCTCTTACACAATGTCCCTAGCTGGTCACAACCCAGCCTGTCCTTTCCCATCACGCCTCCAGGAAGGACCCCAAGTTTGTCCTGCCTCCTCAGCTCCCATCAGCTTAATCCCAAAGGCTGGCCTTCCCTGTCTCAGCCAGGCAGCTCTTCTAATAGATGCGTTTCAGCCCAGACCTCTCCTGGCCTCTGCTCACCTTGCTGAGTGCCCCTCCCCTCCTATGAGTCTTAGTCCCCCTATGTTCTCCCTTCGAAACCTAGCATGGTGCAAGTCATCTGGTAGCAGCCTGCTTCAGCTTAGAGAGATTCTGTCCTGCCCTGTACTCTGTTCACTCCCCAGATGCTTCCTCAATGCAGTTGTGGGTCTGTTTGGTGATCCGACTGCAGCTGGAATTGTAGGGGTTTTTTCCCTATGTCAGTCCCAGCAATATGTGTTGAATGACTAAATAAAAGACAACGAGCACCGAGACCTAAGAGCCATTTGAGGAGACTGGTGGGCAGTGCCCAGGGTGCAGGGGTGTCTGGTGGGGGTCAAAGAGAGTTACCCTTGTTGGCGCTGACCCTCAGGGACAGTTTCTCCCTCCAGAGGTCAGTAGCAAGGACTCCATTGTAGTATACTGCCTGGACCCCAATGACCAGCTGCACCGCCTTTTCCTGGTCACCAGGGTTTTTCAGGGTCACTGAGAGCTTGGCGTCCCCTCCCAGGGGAAGGAAGCTGGGCGCTTCCAAGAACAGGTACAGTGGGTCATCCAGTTCGCAACTCGGGGGGTGGATGCTGCTGTGTTTCTTGTGCCTTATCCTTTCTTTCTGGACTCTGTCCAGCACCGCTTTCTCTTCAAGAGATCCTGGAGAATGGAAGAGACAAAGGAGGCCTCTAAACCAGTAGGTATGGACCCTTTTATTAAGAGCCCAGGATGAAAACGATGAAGGGAAGAGAGAGAAAGGGGAAAAAAAAAAGAATCAAATAAAATCCTATATGATGAATGTCATCATTATGTTTAAAGTGTTCCAATAAAAATAACTTTAAAATATTTTTTGAAAATTAAAGTAGAAAGCCTTAAAAATTTAAAAAAGGCTTTGCCCACTTTTCAGATGCCAAAGACAAAAAGTTTTGCAAACCTCTAAGGCCATATTTGGCCCCCAAAAGCCTATGTTAGGAACCGCCTCCCACAGAAAGAATACCTCTACCAAGCCGCTGAAGGACTGAGCTTTACAAGTACCATGAATGTGCCCCTTGAGCAAGAAGAGAAAGGCTTTGCAACAAGTTAGCACCATCTTTGGGGACAGTTTTGCAGGAAAGTGAATCTCCCTGTGAAGGAATTTGGCAGTGGGGGCCATAGAATATCCTGCAGTGTGAATGTGTGTGGGACAGAAAAATGACGTTTGTGTCCAAAGCTCAGTTTGGGAACTAAAAACTGGAAAGGGAGACGAGGCAAGGGGTTCAGTTGCTGTCATGTAGACGTTGGAGATGAGGCTCCAGGTTAGCTCTGGGCAGTGGGAAAAGGCTCCGGGGACAGAGGTGAGGGTAGATCGTGATGGGGAAGGGGAAGACTCCAGAATGTAGAAGTCTTCTGGTTTGGACAAATAGGCGAAGAGCGGTGCTATTAACTAAGTAAAAGAAGAGCTGAGGCGGCAGGAGAAGAGGAGGAAGGGCAACGATTCCTCTGGGGGCTGGGCTTGGTATTGAGTGTACTGTTGTACAGCAGTGGTTCTCAGCTGGGGGCAGTTTTGCTCTCCTCCCTCCTCCCAGGAAGGACATTTGGAAACGTCTGGTTGGGGCAGGGTGGCTGGTGCCTTATGGATGCCACTATGCTAAATGTCCTAGGATGCTCAGCCCTCTACAACAAAGAAACATCTGGTCCAAAGCATCAGTAGTGTGGCCCGGGGTTGAGAAGCCATGTTTATGTGATGAGAAGCCTGGGGCTCTTTCTGGCCTGCATCTGTCTGGCCCATCTCTTCTCATTTGCTGTTCCAGGTGCAGAGGAGGCTGGGCCCTTTTGGGCCAATACCTGCAGGGTACTTGTAGTTCTGAGTGATGTCCTCACAGCGGTCACTGCCCACAACCTTGGTGCTGATGTTGTTCCCAACATATTTGGTGTTGAAGTTGGTCAACTCCAGTTTCCCATCCTCACAGCACTTCCAGACCACACATGAAGCATTTACTGAAGCAAAAAGGTCTAACACTGCAGGCGTCACCTCCAGGGCCCCCTCCTTGACTGCTTTCACAGGGACCAAGTCACAGGCTTTCAGGACTGAGAAAGAAAGGTTGATGAGCAAAGGGGCCACCTTCAGATCTCTGCCCGTCCTGGGATGCATCACATCTGTCCCTACTCAGTACTCTGTTTTCCCTTTCCTGGGATCGAGGTCAGAGCTGGGCCCTGAGAGGGTTTCTGAGAGGTAAGCCCAAGCAGAGGTGGAACTCCTCACTTTGTGGCAAAAATAGTTTTTGATTGTAGCCTGTGGCAAAAGCCATCTCAGAAACTGGACAGGAAGGGCCTTAGGGTAACACACATAGCACACAGGCGTTCCCAAGCCAGCTCTTCTACTGAGAAGACAGCAATCGGTCACCTTTCTTGAGCACTTGCCACATGCAGGCTCTGTGACATTCTATGGCTGCTGAAGCATCCTCCTCTGAACCCGTCCTGAGGCTTTTTCATCCACACTCAGAACCTCTCAGGCCCACTCTGCAAACTCCTTCCTAGCACATCCCCGGGCTATCTTTGAAGCTTCTGCCCTCCACCAGGAGGCATCTCCCTTGATGGGCACCTTCACTCCCTCAAGCCTGCTGGCTGCCATCTTTTCCTCTGCTTCTCCTGTGTGAGTGTTACAGACCCCCCTGCTGCTCCTGTCCCTCTCTCCCTGCAGCTGTTTTGCTCTGTAGCAGTGGGCAGTTCTGGCCCCACACATAGGTCTTACCTCCACCTCCACTCGGAACTTTTGGGTACAGAATCTGCCATCCATCAAAACCCTTGCACAAGTCAAGCCTGGTCATCCAGCACTCTGTGGAAGTATGGAAGATCCTGAAGGCAACAAAGGCAAAAGTTCAAGTGGAAAACAAGGAGTGTGGAAGTTCTTGAGAACTATAAGCTAGCAGAGTTTTGTCATGGGGATAAAAGGGCACTGTGTAAAAGTGGCTGTTACCCTCCAGGAAGAGGTGTACGTACCACCACCGGCCAAGAGTCCCAAAGGCCTAGTCTTAGGGTGAGAGACACTGGGCTGTGGGGCCCCTGGGTTTGTTTATCCCACACAGGTTGGAGCCCTTCCTGTCTGGAACCATCTCCTTTGGGATTCTTACCAGATGCGACCTCTCTGGCCTTCTCCATTCTGCAGCCCCTCCTCATTGTAGTACTCGTTCACTAGCAGGCTTCCACCAGTGTCCTGGGCTGAGGCGAAGGTGGTGACCACACGGGCTGGGATTCCCAGGCTTCTCAGCACTACGTGGAAGAGGTGCAGAGCATCAGAGGGAGGAGGCACTGGGGCAAGGATCTGGCTTCTTAGATGGGATGTCAGAGTCAGTTCTGGGCAAGACGGAGTGAGGCAGGCAGTGCCTGCTTTGGGGGCTGTCCTTCCTGCACGGTTCCCAGGGGCACCTGAGAGGCAGGGTGGCCACTCTGGAGCAGCCCAAGTGACTGCCTGGTCGCCATCCACTCTACCTGTGCAGGTGACAGCAGCCAGCACCCAGGCCTGGCCCTCGTATACAGGTCGCCCTTGACCAGTGAGCCACTGCCGCAGGATGGGCGCGCTGCCCCGGCGCTTGTTCAGCAGAACCTGTTCCTGGGCGGAAGGGGTCTTTGGGGTGGGCAGGACCTTCTTCTCCTTGATAGCATGCAGCTGTGGGGGAAATGTACTCATGGCAGGGTGATGTCACGTAGGCTTCGGGACGAGGGAAGGGTGATATGAGGAATACCAGCCAGCTTTTGTCGAAGGCTGGCTTTTTTCTAGATTCCTGATGCCTCATTGCTTTACTTGCCCCCATGGAGGGCATCACTTGTCCTTCTCCATCAGACCCTTCTCTGAAACTGTCTCTCACATCTTCAGAAGAGGGGATCATTTGTGATTTGAGAGTTTCCAGAGCCAGGGAAGTGGGCCGGTGGTAGAGGACTCTTGTCCCACTCTCCCTCCCCTGAGCTCCCGCCTGTCACTCACCAAGGCACCCAGCACCCGGGCCACATGTGCAGGCTGGCTCCACTCCTCCACCTGCTTGTCTACGCCCAGCAAATCCAGGCTGAGGTCCATGACATCACTTTCAAACTGTAAGAACCGGACAGGCCAAGACAGAGGGTTCCAGGTCAGGCACTCATCCCAAGGACAGTCCCATAATTCAGTCCTTCCCCTGCCTTGCTGTCCCTTGTGGGAGTTCTGGCTGCTCCTTCCCTCCTGCTGTGCCCCTGTTCCTATGCTGGGCATCGAGTCCCGTTCCTGTTCTGTGATCGGACTCTCCTAATGGCATGAATTCCCAGCACTGCCCCTCCTCCTCATTCTTTCCTTCCTCCCTCTCTCTTTTCTCTTTCTTGTACTGTGGACCAAACCCAGGGCCTATTTTATTGTGAGCTACATTCCCAGCCCTTTTTTATTCTAATTTTTAAAACATTTTTGAGACTGAGTCTCACTAAGTCATTAAATTGTCCAGGCTGAGCTCACACTTACAAAACTGCCTGAGCCTCCCAGAGTGCAGGAATGGGTGGCACCACACCCAAGTTCTTTTCATTTCAATTTCCTTTCATTTCCATGTAATGAGCTTCTAAACTATACGGCAGATACAAAGTAGCTCTTGCTCGGGAGGAGCCCCTAGACTGGAGATGGACTGTAGCCCCTCAGATTACAGGGTACTAGTGGAGATAGCAATGCAGAAGAGAGGTCAGTGGAGAGAATTTCTCTGACGTTTGCTGGGACAGAGAAAGCTTTCAGCATGTCTTAAGTGATGTTTCTGGGGGGATCAAGGAGGGAAGCTATTCCAGGCAGAGGGAACGCTCAGCCTGAATGCTCAGGAAGTAGAGTATGGGGTAGTTTATGGGATGAGGAAAGCAGTGGCCTGGCTGGAAAGGCCCTGGGTACACACTATAGGATTTGGTCTTTGTCCTGCAGAAAGATTTAACAGACACTGGAGTTGCCACAGCTTTTAGGATGACTCTGGTCTATGCAGCAGAGAAAAGGTGGCAACCACGGGGTCAAAATGGGCTAAAGAAATAGCCTCCTGTCCAGGGGCTTTTAGACCTGCCAGTTCTGTCAGGCCTGAACATTGGAAGTTATAAGATAGCCACTGTTCCTCTTTGTCCTTAGAGGTTGTTAGTACCTGGCCAAAGTCCCAGGGCTCTTCCTGGATGCAGTCAGCTGTGCCCAGGAAGATGAGGCCATTCTGGTCCAACACGTACTCCTGGCACTGAGCCTCATTCTGCAGAAACACAGCATCCTCTGGCGAGAAGCAAGGGAGGACATGGCCTGAGGTGTGGCCAGGCCCACCCTCTAGTCCAGTTTCGATGTGAGTTTAGACCTCCCCAGCAGCTCTAGGCCTAACGCAGACTGAGGAGAAAATCCCTCTTTTACTGCCCTCTGGGGGAACTGTCCCAGAGTCCTTGGGTCAGTCTGATGCAGCTTTCAAGGTCAGCCAGGCAGATAGAGGAAGCCAACCAAAAAACTCCATACGGTTCCCAGAGGTTTGCAGCCAGAGCCAAGAGAAATGAGCAGCAGCCCAGTGGCTGTTACATCTTTCCTTCAAGTTTAATTTTTGAACAATAAAAAAGTATTTCAGAAGCAAAATAAATGAAGGGTAGGTTAATACAAGTGAGCAGATGTCAGAGGAGTACTGGCAAGACAGGAGAAGAGGAAGCAGTGGTGTGGAGAAATAAAGTCCAGGCACAGGGCCTCTGCCCTGAAGCCAAGGATCCACCTGGCCTAGGATGCCCGTGGTCTTTTCTTAATACCCGTCCTGCTTCTTCATCCAATTATTACCCAAGAGGAGGCAGGGCAATATTTCTTTCTTTCTTTTTATTTTATTTTATTTTATTTTATTTTATTTTATTTTATTTTTTGTCTTTTTGAGACAGTTTCACTCGCAGTTCAGGCTGGCCTTGAACTCACTTTGTAGCCCAGGTTGGCTTTGAACTTGCAGTGATCCTCTTTCCTCAGCCTCTGAATGCTGAGATTACAGACATGTAATCCCATTACATGCTAGGCAATTACCATAGCTGGGCAACTTTTGTTTTTGGTACTGGGGATCGAACTCATGACCTCACACTTGCCAGGCAGGCACCTAATGCTGCCGAGCCAAATCCCTGGCCCCAAACTGTGCAATTTTTAAGGAGGCTGAGAGCAATATGAGGACTGGCTTGCTTGCTGTCTTATCTCTCCGACCTGGTGGCAGGTGGTTTGCAGGTGGGGAGACAGGTTTCTGGGACTATTAATAGTATTTCTAGACCATTCAGAAGAGCTGCTGGGTTCCAGCTCTTCAGGGGCCTCCCGATATCCAGTGGGAAAGAGAGTACTCAGTAAAACAGAAAGAATAGAATATTAAAAGCAGGAACCCCTGGGGCTTAAAATCAGAGAAGTGTAAGCACACGGAACTCTTGATTCCTGCCTCTCCATCCTGAGTCCTCTCTATGAAGCCCACTAGGCACCGTAAGCTTGGAAACCACTTCCCACGGTGTTTGGCCCCAGGCTCTATGCGGGTCTAGGAAGGGCATAGCGAGCATCCTCCTCTTCTCTGCTAGGGTGAAGCCTTCCTTTCCCCTTTATAAAGTTCCCAGTCTGTGAATAGGGCTTACTTATTACATGACAAAAACATTTCCTTTTGAATTTAACAGAGCCCCATTCCAAGTATGCTGAGATGAGCGTAGGATGCCCAGGACTCTGCACCTCTTCCAGTCACCTCACAGAGAAGCAGAACCAAGGGCTCATCCTGCTCAGATTACCATTCGTTCGCCCACCCACTCATACATGGAAGGCTTTTCTGGGGGCCTCAAAAACTGAACAAGAAGGCAGGACTCCAGGCACTGGGGTTGAGATGTGCACTATCCAAAACTCTGCAGCATCTTTGACTGCCAGCACCCAGCTGGCCTAGACAGTGATCTAGGAGTATACTGAAGCCTCAGCATTGGTGGGAAGTGGCTGGAGTGTCTTCTTGTCTGTGCAAAAACATGGAGCCTCTCCACAAGGAAGGACCCTGGATGCCGTTTGACCACATGGGACAAGTGATGCCTGAGAGATATTAGTTCCCACCTACTCTGTAGCCTGCCTACCTTTCTGGAGCAAGAAAGAAGACCCTGAGCTGAGGATAAGCAGGCCACCTGGAGAGGAAATGATGTCATGTCTGGCCTAGAGAGACCCTCTCAGCTGCCCTCCACAACAACCAGAAACTAGTAAAGAGGCATGCTGCCCTCAGCAAACACAACAGATGGCCATAAAGAAAATTTAGGACAGGACACACAATCTCCCTGGCACTGAGAACACCAGTATTATCTACACATCTGTGCTGACCATCCTGGGAACTTGGACCCCAAACATTTGTTATAGACAGCTAAATCAGATAAAAACATTATAGACAGTCAGACAGGGCTGGGCCAATGCAAAGACCAGATGCCTTGCAACTGTAAGAATGACAGAAGTGGCTGTCCCTAGTGGGCCAGACCTCAAGATAAAAGAAAAAACAAATGCACCCATATACTTCCTAAGGATAAACATCAGGGATTGCTCTTTAAATAGATACCAGTCACCTCATGAAAGCCAGAGGAAGTTGCGTATTCCTGCCTGCTTGCTGTGTGACTCATTTCCCCATTTGGTCCCCATTTAATCAATTTTGCCTGAGCAATTGTACTCGTAATCTTACTGGTTGACCACAGTTCTGTCCCACCTCAAGCCTGCCCTGTGATTTCCCACTTTTCTCTGCCTTGGACCTGCCTTATCTCACGGTTTTACTCTATAAAATCCCTGGAAAAGGCAGGATCTTTGGCAACCTACTTAGGACCCCTTCTGTCTCTCTCTTGGAGAGAAGCTTTCTTTCTCTCAATAAATGTATTCTGCTCTTAATCTCCTTTGGTCCTAAAATTTATTCTTCAATTTTAGAGAAAATGAACTCATACCAGATATAGAGCATCTTGGGAGTTTCTTTTTTCCATATCAATTCCACCCAGATTATTTGGGATTCTAATCTCATCCCCAAACCCTACAAAAACTTAACTTCTCCTCTAGTCAGTTGCTACAGTCTTTCATAATCTCAGTCTTTCTGTACCCAGCCAAAATAAATCCAGAATTTTGCTCACATAAACCCTCTATGTCTGGATGGTTTTCATGTGCCATTGATACATACTGGTGCTGGAAACCCAAGATAGGGCAATCCCTCTTTAAAGGATCTTACACCCTATCTCAAGGCTTTTTCCCACTGAGGTTACATGGTGATATTGGCCCCAGACATTGCCTAGTGCTCCAGGCAGCTCCTGCTACTCCAAATCACTTCAGACTGGGTAAGACATTCTCCCCACCCCTCTCCTACCTTCCCACCCTTCCATCCATTGGGACAGAGAGAGGCTTTCCCTTCTTTCTGTGCCTTTTAAACCCAGCACTGGTCATGGACACCCCCTGGGAATGTTGACTTCCCTTGATGGTTGATCAATTGCCAATGATGACTGCCTTGGTCACTTACCCACACTCCATCTCAGCCTTGATCACAATTGGAGAGGGATTATCCACTGCAGGACCTGGAGCTACACTCCTTTTGTCATGCCAGATGTGACAGGTACCTCTCTCTGCTCATCATGGGAAAACTTCCTTCTTCTGTGACCCTGTCCTCTCCTCTTTCCTGTCTCTTTTTTCTCCCTTTCCCCTATCCGCTCTTCAACCCTGCCTATCTTAACCTAAAACCTCTTTGTGTCTACCCCATCTGAAGCCTAAACATCTAATGTTTTTCTGCAAACTCGCACAGCCACAGTACAAACTGGACGATGGCTTGTGCTGGCCAAATATTGGCACTTTCAACTTCTCTATTCTGCAGGACTTAGTTACTGCTGGACATTAAACAAGTGGTAAGACTTGGCCTATACCCAGGCTTTCTTTACGCTGCACGGTATTCCCACTTTGTGCACCTCATTTAATTCCTCACAAAGCCTTTCCCCTCCACCAGATCAAGACTCCTGTCTGACAGCAGATCCAGCTAACCTTGCTCTCCCCTGGTAGCTGCCCTCACCTCCTACAGCAGTTGCAGGCACTGCCTCTTCCGGAGCCTCCTGCTGCTACAGCTGCTCCCCTCCCCTCCCACAGGGCCTCCTGCTGATCTGGTACCCAGCCTTTCTACCTACCCAGCACTTCTTTCCCCTTGAGCCTATTCCTCCTCTGTATGCCACACTCAGCCCCACTTTTCTTCACACCTGATCTGGATGGCAGTTTGGCCACAAAACCTTGCTCCCCAACCCCCAATTCCTACTCCATGAGGTGGCAGGAGCCAGGGGAATAGCCCAAATTCCTGTCTCTGACAGACCTCGCCTAAATTAGCATCTGAGCACCTCCTCAGATCCCATCCAATATATACAAGAATTCCAGTAGTTGACCCAACCATATAATCCCATCTGAGCAGATTTAAAGATTATCCAGGAGAACTAGCAGTGTCTCCTGAGATCCACGCCATGTTGGAATTTAGAACTCTGGGAAGCCAAGCCAGAACCTCCCCTCCCTGGTAAGCGGAGGCAGGGTGGCAGACTGCAGCCCTTCCAGGGGGAGAACCAGCAGTGTCTCCTGAGATCTGCGCCATGTTGGAACTTAGGACTCTGGGAAGCCAAGCCAGCACCTCCCCTCCCTGGTAAGCGGCAGCAGTGTGGCCCACTGCAACCCTTCCAGGGGGAGAACTAGCAGTGTCTCCTGAGATCCACACCATGTTGGAACTGAGGACTCTGGGAAGCCCAGCAAGCATCTCCCCTCCCTGGTAAGGGGAGGCAGGGTGGCAGACTGCAGCCCTTCCAAGGGGAGAACCAGCAGAGTCTCCTGAGATCCACGCCATGTTGGAACTGAGGACACTTTGAAAACAAATGACCATTCTGCCTCCCTGCTTAGCAATAGTGAATCTACTGCTACATGGCCTAGAGTCAAATATCTCACTTCCCCTCCCCCGCATGCCCATTGGCAAATGGGAACCAGAAATCTGAGCATCTCCTGGGAGGTTGACCATAGCAAATAAGGGGGACTTCCTTCTACCATTTCTTTGAAGGCAAATATTTTTATTATTGTTTTGCTCTTTTCTGATTAATGGTACTGCTCTATTCAATATTCTGTTTTGATAAGTTCTATAGTGTTCTATATTTCATCTCATTTTGATATACGGGATTGAAAGAACAATTATTATAAAGGTAACAAAATATACTGTGATCCCTATTACTGTTATCCCGGTACTTAGGACTCTGGGAAGAGTTGTGAAGTTCTGTACCAATTTCACTGTACGATCTTAGTTGGCTTTATTCTGACTTGTTCTGTTGTATACTTTCAAAATAAAAAAAAAAAAAAAAAGATTATCCTTAGCTCTCCCGTCTTACCAGAGGAATGGAACGGGTGATCTCCCTGGCCCTTCCTTATGGGATGAACACAAATACCTTCAGCCTGACCTTCCTGAGGGCACTGTGGTTGTTCCCTGGGAGGACTCAAATTGGAACTATCAGGCAGGAGCCAGGATGTGGCCAACCGAGATCTCATGGTCTCTTGCCCAGTAGAGGGACTTCACAGAGCAGTGCACAAACCAGTTAATATTGATAAGCTCAAAGAAACCACTCAGAACAGGGATGAAAATCTGGCTCAGGTTATGGCTTACCCAACTGCCATGTTCCTTGGTTGCACCCCTCCAGTCCCTAATTATTTCTCACAGTCTTTGCAGGATTGTGTCCAGGCCAACAGATACTGGCTCTATCCACTCATAAATATAGCCCCTATTCCTCCAATTTCTCTCCCAGTTAGGCTGCCCAGGGCACTCCATTTGTCATGCACAAAATAGCCACGATAAACATCACTCAGTTTCTTGCCACTCTCTGTACATAGCAACAAAAAGATGAGAATGTCATGTCTGACCTGAGAGAGACCCTCTCAGCAAACATGCTGCCCTCCACAAAAAATAGGAAACCACTAAAGGGCCATGTCGCCCTTAGCACACAGAACAGATGGCCATAAAGAAAATTGGGAACAATGATAGATCCCTCCCACATCTGAGAGACAGCACAATCAGAATGGCGATGTTTCAAAACTGTGCCATGATAATGCATAACTCCTTCTCAGAAGCCCCTGTGGCTTCTTCCTTCCACAAGTCTTTGCCAAAGCTCATGTGTGTAAAGACTTACCCAATCATCTGCACTCTGACAAAATAAGTCAGCTCACATTAGTACCCAGAGCCCTTCCCTATCAGAGCCTATATCGGGCAGAACCTGCCCTTTGTCTGCAAAGAGCTGCCACATCTTCTTTGTGGTGACTCCCTCTGTGCCCTCATTAAACTCTTTTCCTATCTAGTTGTCTCCCCCCCCCTTTTAATATTCTGTGTTGCTCTAGATTGAGTCCAAAGTTTCAACTCAATCAAACAGGACATATCATTTCTCCAGCGCTGAAATTATTATCCATCTGCACTGACCATCCTGGGAAATTTGACCACAAATATTCCACCCAGATTCCTTGGAATTATAACTCTATCCCCAAGCCCTATAAAAACAACTTCTCCTCTAGCTAGTTGCTGAAATTATTCACAATCTCTTCCTGTCTGTATCCAAACAACATCAACCTAGCCTTTTGCTCACATAAAGTCTGTGTGTCCAAGTGGTTTCTTGTGCTTCATTGATAACAGGTAGAGATTGGAGAACTCCATCCTGGACAAGAGAAGGAGGAGGAGTGGAAGAAGAAGAGGAGAAGGAGGAGGACAAGGACGAGGAGGAGGGTGAGGAGGAGAGTGCTATTGGCTTCAGGCACCACAGAGAAAGAGTTAAGAACCAGGGTCCAGGCCTGGGGCTGAAGGAAACTGAGCGAACTCTTACTTCCCCCAGTCTCCTCTGCTTTCCCAGCTCCGCCTTGGAAGCAGCCCCATTCAGGCAGGCAGTAAAACTCTTGCAAGGTGAAGGGCTGTGCACTTGCGATCTGGCATCTCAGATGGGAAAGCCAGATGGAGGTGTCTTCCATTCTCCCAGCAGTAGTCTCAGGGAGACCACAGAATTAAGACAGGTGTGGCAGATTAAAAAGGAAAGACAAGAATACAATCCTCAGAATATCAAGGAATCTTCAGAATATAATGCCTCAATCGGGTGTGGTGGCATACACCTATAATCCTAGCACTCGGGAGGCTGAGGTAGGAGCTCGAGACCAGCCTGAAAGAGATGATTTCAAAACAAACAAAAAAAAAAAAAAAAAAAAAAAAAGAAAGAAAAAATATAAGGCCTCACTGAGACCTACTTTGGTTAAACTGACCATGTCTACATGAAACAGCCCCAGCTGCTGTCTGAACTAAACTTTGCCAGAGGTGGCCCCAAATTAGGCTATAAAAGGTCACTGGACCCCAGGGAGCCCACTCTTAGGCTGGTTGAGCTTAAGACTTGAGTTAGACATGTCAGCGTGGTGAAGACCCTGTGATCTGTTTTAAGAACAAAACACACAGCAGAGAAATAAAGATGGTAGAACCATGCACATTGACTATGAAGCTGATGGAGCTAAAGCTTGGAGACCCTTACTAAGATAAACCTTTCCTCAAGCAATTGAAAACCTTGTATTTTTAAAAAGATACTTTAAACTATATATGCTTCTGGCCTCAGGAAACCCAGATGCACTCTAGGGACAGATGGGAAAGACCAGAGAAAGACAAAGAAACCTATCTGTCAGGCCACCTCATTCCTACAGCCCATTCTAGTTCTTGCAATCAAGGGTAGCCTTGCAGGTCATCACAGCGAGGCTCAACTTCTGTGGCCAAAATAGGCTAAGCTAGGGTCAGTTTAGTGGTGAGACAAGTCCACTATTTCATTGGGAAGCCCTTGGGTGCTTCTACCAGGGGTGACACTAGGACAGGACCCTAGGTCTGAGGAGGCACTCATGGGAGCTGAATGCTGATGCTGACCTTGGAGGGGCTGCTTTCAGGGCACCCCAACTCCAGCACAACTGAGGCTGAGCTAGGTCCAAACTTACCTCTGTTCCAGGGGTTAAAGAGCAGTGTGAACTGGCCCAAGTGATACTGCTCTTGGCCTGAGACCTGCAGCAGGAGTGAGTAGTGGCCAATGACAGCGTCCACAGGTGTGGTCACAGCGACGGTCCAGAAGCTGGCATCTCTCTTCTCTACTGCTGCCCTCCACCACTTTGGATCCCCCAGACTGGTAATTGGGAATATGGCTTGGGTCCTGTTGGTCTTGGAGGGCTGCTGTCCTACAGTCGTGTGGTATCAAGTCATCATTAGGACTCCAAGGACACAACTCAGGGTAATAAAGGCAGAGTATTATCAAGATGGAGGAGGTAAAAGTTGGTTTTAGGGGACAGTAAAGGGTTAGGCAAGAGAACAAGTTCTCAGTGCTTGTGGACCTGCATTCATGAAAGGTTCATAGTCTGTAACATGGCAAAAAACCAACCCTCCACATCTACGGAAGATAAGGTCCAGCACCCTGCAGGTACCAAAATCCCAGTACATTTAAGTTGCTTGCTCTGTAGGCCAATGTGAGGACCACAGGAGGCACTGCATGCAAAGTGCTGGGTTCAATATCTGACCCACTATGAGGATTTGGTGAATAGTGACAATTAGGTATTACATTTAACCTCAATTAGAGTGCAGTCAGGCTTTTCGGGAAAGTTGATTATTATTACGACTACCATTATTACCATAGTACTGAAGATTGCACCCAAGGCCTTTGCACTGAGCCCTTTAAAATTTTTTTTATTTTATTTTGAGTCAGTCTCTTGAAGCAACTAAGTTGTCCAGGCTGTGCTCAAACTTGTGATCCTCCTGCCTCAGACTTTCACAGTGCTGTGATAGATTAGACTTGGAAAACTGATATTATATTTGCCACCAAAAGAAAGCTCTTGGTGATAATGCTGCTGAGCAGGTTGTCAGTCATGATAAATAGTATTTGTTATGCACATGGTCTCGTCATGTCCTCCCAGCTGGGCAGACTTCTTAAGGCCAGCCACAGAGTAGGCCATTGTCCCTTGGTTCCCTGAAAGATGCTGGGGACAGAGCCCCTCCCTGTCTAGTCCTGTTGCTGTGCCTGAGTCTGGGCCTATCCCACTTACCAGTCTGTGCAATGAGGGCTAGCTTCCTGAGGGCAGGCAGGAACGCTGAGATGGGGGACTGGAAGTGCAGGGTGATGGTGAAGGACTTGCCCCTTCGCACTATGAGGCGCTGGGAGCTGATGGCCCGGGTGTGATGCTCCTCATTGTTTTTTGCTGCCTGCAAGTCACAGCTCTTGATACCCAAGCCTTTTGTGGAAAAGACGGAAATCATGGATCAATGTGAAACATAAATAAAAGCAGAAATTCCAGAATCAGGACAGGTTTCAAGTTCTTGGCTTCATTTACTTATTTAGTTGGTGACCTCAGGTAACTTAATCACTCTGAGCCTCAGTTTCTTCTCCATAAAATAACCATCCCCCTGCAGAGTCCTGGAGATTAGCTGATATCATGCATATAATACACTCAGCACAATGTCCCATTCAATGCAACTGTTGTTGTTTTAATAGAGAACAATATTTATTCTCATTGTTGACCTCATTCTTGTCTGAATTCCAAGCAATGAGTACAATCCAGATTTTATTCCCCTCCATTGACTTTTTTTCTTAAAACGAAATCTGATAACTTTGAGAACTAGCTTCGGATTCTGACCCCAGTTTTCTTGTTTTACAGGTGAGAGGTGTGAGGCCCAGGGTGTAGACAGCTCCCTGAGCTCCTGTGGCCTACAGACTCACCAAACTTGAGGCCCCACACAGCCTAGACCAACTGAACAAGGACAAGGCCCCCAAGGTTTTGAAGTCTGTCAGTCAATTCTTATTTTACAGAGGAAGGAAATACAAGGAACAGAGAAATTTTTAAAGAAAATACATGCAAAGGAAGTCCAAAACGAGGTACAGTTTTGAAAACAAAGTTTAGTTACCTACATAGTGAAGTATTCGTGCCCTTTCGTTCCTTTTCAGCACAAGGCTGTGAGGAATTCCTGGTCTGGAAGGCAGCCCACGCCTTTGCCTGGACTCTGCTGCTGGATGGGGAAGCTTTAGCTTTTGCTTAGTCACATGAGGAACTAATGTGAATCTGGTAGCAAAGCGCTTTGCCCCACAGTCCCTTGCAAATGCAGAATGCTTCTACTTAAATTTCCTTGGGTTGCATTTCTGGCACTTTCCTTTTTTCTTCCTTCTTTCTTTTTTCTTTTCTCAAGTTCTGAGAATTGAACCCAGGGCCTTGAGAGTGGTAGGCAAGTGCTTAACATTGAACTTCATTCCCGGCCCTCAAAGTTGCCAAACTGTCTGGCTTAGAGCTCAAGAGTAGAGGGCAAGAATGAAGACTGGGCCTGGACTGCGGGAGAAGAGAACAAGAAGCCAACAAGAAGCCTGGCCCTGCCTGAGAGTTGGCACCATGCATGGGCCACTGTGGGGAGAACCAGATGCCAGCCCCTTCTGGCACACAGGCTGGGAGATAAGAGCCAACCCTGCCCCCTACTTTCCAAACCCCTCCTCCCCGACATAAGTGACCAGCTGATCTGGAGAAACACAGGCCATGATGATAGCTATTGAGGTAAAATATAATTTAATGCTTTTAGTGTTTAGTGTTTCACTAACTTTGCAGGTCTAAAGCCAGTAGTCTGATCATTTAATCAGAGGATAACTATATGCAATGTAGTATCTATGTGGGATCTCCTCTGAAGGTAGTAGCCATTGTTAATTCCCTATTATCTTGTTTTGAAGTCCTGTATCATTTTCATTGTTTTGTTGGGCTGAGTTTTATTCTGTTTTGTCCTGTTTAATTTTATTATATCCAATGGCATGGGCAGCTATTTCAAAGATAGCAAGATATATTATGGAGCCATTTTGAATTTCCTGTAATCTTGTTTTGATGTCCTTTATTGCATTCATTGTTTTTATTGGTTCTATTCTGTTTCTGTTTCATTTGATTTTTACTATATCTGAAGGTATGTGCAGTTATTTTGAAGACAACAAAAGGCACTACGGTAACCATTATTGATTTCCTATTATCTTGTTCTGAAGTCTTGTATCACTTACACTGTTTGGTTTTGATTGGTTTAATTCTGTTTCATTTTGCTTAATTTTATTCTCTTTATTTATTAATTTATTGTTATTTGTTTATTTTTGTACTTTTTGAGACTGGGTCTCTCTGCAACTCAGGCTGGCCTTGAGCTCACTTTGTAGCCCAGGCAGGCTTCAGTGTCCCAAGTACTGGGATTACAGTCATGCGCCACCACACCCAGTTGGTTTTATTCTCTATAAAATAAAATAAAATAAAATAAAATAATGAAGATTGTAAGGAAGGAGCCCAGCTTTTTTTATTTTTCCTTTCATTTGTGATGGAGCTTAGATGATGCCAAAAATATGCAAGTGGGGGACAGAATTGACAGTCTAAAAATAAAAGAGCTGTGAAAGAACCTCCCTGCTTGTCTAGTCCTACTTCCTCTGTGCGTCTCTTGTGCCCTCTCTGTCCCTCTCAGCCACCAGGGGTTGTTCAGGCCATGGCAGTAGATAACACTGACCCAGTGAGACTTGGATTTGTAAATGAAGGTCAGTTGTGCTCACAACCAGAAATGATTCCTTTCTCTCTCATTAGCTAGTGCTGGGCCATGCTGAGCCTGCCTCTTTCACATGATAGAGCTGCATGACACCACGGGGCAGTGAGCAGCCAGAGGATATGAGCCGTGGTAATCTGAGCACCATGTTACAGCCAGAGGCACAAGCTGGGGTCGGCTTGGAGTCTGGTTCTGTCTGGACGTTTCACTACCCTTCTCACTTGGGAGATGCCTGCATGCTCGTCCTCCAAGATCCAAAGGCACCAGCCTCTAACACTTTCATTGTCTTCTCCAGCACAGTCCTATCCTGGGCGCACAGTATTCTACTGCATTCCTCCCAGCATTCACCACATTCACAGTCATAACCTGAGTTGCTCTCTGCTCCCTTCGAACTTCCTCAGTGTTTTTGTTTGCTTTTTCATATATGCATCCTCTGTCCAGCAGAACACCGAACACATAATTACCCAGCAAGCTCCTTCATCAGTGAAAGGACAAGAACACTGAGTCAGCCCTGGGAGAGTCTTTGTTGCCCACCAGGCCTCACCTGGGCATGGTATATACCTGTAATCCCAGCATTCAGGAGGCTGAGACAGGAGGGTCACTGTGAGTTCAAGGCCAACCTGAGCTGCGTAGTGAGACCCTATCTCAAAAAACAAAAACAGAAACAAAACAAAACGATCCTAGCAGAGATTCTGAGGTCTTCACATCTTCTGGATCTAACCAGTTTCTTACTTTATGGCTGCCTCTGTCCCTTTTAGTTGGGCTCAGTGTCTCCTACTGCCCTTTTTTTCCTGTTGAACTTTATGCTCTGACACCCTCTTGCAGGGTGTTGCTCATAAGTCTTACAGCTGTGGCTAGCCACACTATTGGGATCCTGGGACAAAAATATAAATCTGTGTTACTCACCACCACCACGACTGTGACCACTAGTCTACCTCCAAGGCCTGCCCCATTCCCACACTGCCGTCCTGTGCCCTGTGAGAGCGGGCTGTGCTCACCTTGTCCCATAGCTGCAGGCTGCTCTTATCCTCTTGAGCACAGGAAACGCCCGTCTTGAACTGTTGCTTCTGGGCTCCTTCAAATCTGCTCCCAGACGGAAAGTTATGGAATACTTCTTGGCTTAAGAATCTATAAAGAGCAAAATGTCTCTTTGCTGTGGATGCTCTGACAGCTTTCTTCTCTCCTACTCCCTTCCTGCTGGTATCTCGGGGACCAGCCACTGGGAGTAACCCTCTTAAAAATGCTATCTGTTACTGCCAGGAGGCCTAAGCAAGGGCATGACCTTCGGGCCTGGGTGAGAGGTGGGAGGGAGAAAGACTGTGAAGAAACCTCTCGGCCTGTCTCTTCAGTGGCCTCAAAAGACTAGCAGAACTGTTATCTGGCAGCACAGGAAAACCCTGGGAGAAACAGTGTGTCACACTCAGGTGTCTGTATCTGACTCAGGCCCTGAGCATATTAGAGCCCTCATGTTGCTAGATGTTCGTGGGCTGTGTTGACAATATACAGAGAGAACACATAGCTCTGGAATTCATCTGTGTGAAAGAGATAAGGGGGTAGAGTTTGTTGGCAGAAGATAAGTGTCATAAAAGCTGAAGCCACGGTGCCAGCTCTCTAAGACTACCCGGTCTGGGGCAATTTACTGAGAAGGTTTGGCACTGCTTTGGGACTGAGCCCTGGGTCTCAGTTTCTCTGGGCTCAGTCACTGAGAAAACAAGACTAGGAGAGGGAATCTGATGTCTGGGCCTCCTTGGTCTTCGAGAGCCCAGCTTTTGCTTGGCTTCTGAGACTGTTGGGACCCAGGCACACGAGGGGACAGCTGTCCTTACTGTGTGTGTGTGAGGCATCTATGGAAGGCTATGAGGCAAACTTCAAAATCACCAGTTGTCTATAGGCAAGGACATTGGGAGATAGGGTAGATATTTTGGTGTTTTTTTTTTTTAACGGTTTAATTTCTTTTCAAGGGCCAGGGATGCAACTCAAGACCTTATACATGGTATTTTTGTTGAGAAGACATTTCCCTCTAACTATCCCTACATTATGATATACAATGTTTATGGTGAGGTTATTAGGTTTCTGTACTTGATATATCTTTAGCCTACTCATTTCTCCTTTCCCTTGGGCTTTTTCACTTGGGCCACTTCCTTATTAGAAGAGATCCATCTCCCAGTCCCCTTCTATGCATCCTTCAATATTTTCATTGTACTTTGCCTCACTCAAATGAGGATACCACATGCTATTCAAGCTTGTATGTCTAGTATATTTCACTCAACATTTTTTCCAGGTGCATCTATTTTCCTACAAATGTCTCAGACCTGTTGTTCTTTATAGCAGAGTAGTATTCCATGTCACATTTTCTTTTCTTTTTTTTTTTTCTTTTTAGATGTAAGTAGTGGTTATTTTTTTTTTATGCTACATTTTCTTCATCCATTCATCTGTTGGTGGGTATATGGACTGATTCCAGGATTTAGCTATTACAAAGTGTGCTGCTATAAACATATGTATATGGGGCTGGGGATTTAGCTCAGCGGCATAAGTGCCTGCCTTGCAAGTGCACGGTCGTGAGTTCGATCCCCAGTACCGATAAAATAAAACAAAAAAACATATGCATGTATCACTGTAGTATGATGTTTTGAATTCTTTGGGGAAGACATCTACAAGGAAGATTGCTGGGTTGTATGGAATTTCTAATTTCAGTTCTTTGAAAAATCTCCATACTAATTTCTTTTTCTTTTTTTTCTTTTAAACAGAATAAAACCCAACAAAACAGAGTAAAGCCAATCAAAACAAAGATGTGAAAGTGGTGCAGAACTTCAAAGCAGGATAACAGGACATCAACAATGGCTATATAGTATATCTTGCTATCTCCACAACAGTTATCCATTCCATCAGACGTAGTAAAATCAAATACAACAAATCAGAATGAAACCAATCAAAACAGAACACTGGATAAAGCAAAACAATAAATTGGAACAAAACAAAACAAAACAGTGAGAACAATATTGGATTTCAAAAGCAAGACAGAAGGAAATTCCCCAAATTTGCTGTATTGCATACTGTAATCCTCCTAATAGATGCTCAGACTACTGGCCTTAGGCCTACAAAGTCAATCAAGCAATACAAGCATTTCGTTGTTTTGTACCCTCTGAACCAACTGGTTGCTTACAGGGTGGGTGGGGGAGTTCTTGATTCTCAGCCCTCATGCCATTTGATTTCCTAATGATTACCATTCTTTCTAGAGTAAGATGGAACTTTAGTGTTATTTTCATTTGTATTTCTGTAATGGCAAGAGATGTTGGGCATTTTCTCAAATGTTTCGCATTTGCATTTCTTCCTCTGTGAAGTATCTGTTCATTTCTCTTGTCCATTTCTGGGCTGGATCTTTAATTTTAGGTAGTTTAATTTTTTGGAGTTTTCATATATTCTAGATATTAGTCCTCTGTCTGAGAAGCAACTGGCATTTGCCATTTTTTCCAATTCTATAGGTTGCCTCTTCACTCTACTGATTGATTCTTTTCCTGTACAGGATCTTTTTGCTCTGATATAATTACATTTGTTGATTCTTGCTGTTATTTTTTGTGCAGTTGAGGTTCTGTCTAGAAAATACTTTCTTACACATGTATCAAGTATTTTCCTTTTTTATACCTTCCAGTAGGTTTAATATTTCTGGTTTGTTAAAAAATATTTTTTATGAAAAGGATTTCACTATGCAGTTCAGGCTGGCCTTGAACTCACAGGAAGGCCTGTCTCGGCCTCCAAGTGCTGGGATGATGGGCATATGCCAGCACACCCAGTGTGTTTCTGTTTCAATGTTTAGATTTTTGATCCATTTTTAATTTAGTACGTGGTGAGAGATAAATGTCTAGTTTCAATCTTCTGGACATGGATAATGAGTTTTTACAGCACCATTTGTTGAATAGGCTATCTTTCCGCCAATATATGCTTCGAGTTTCTTTGTCAAAGACCAAATAACTGAATGTGTAAGCAAAAGTTTCTGTACCATTGATCCACATGTCTGTTTTTGTTTCAAGACCACGATTTTTAAAAATCACTGTTGCTTTGTAATGTAGGTTTGAAGTCAGGTTTTGCTATGCCCCCAGCTTTGCTCTTGTGGCCCAGACTTGCTTTTGTCTGGGTCTTTTCTTGCTCCATATGAATTTCAGGATTGTTTTTCAAGGTCTGTAAGGTATGCTGGCCATATTTTGATTGGCACTGCATTGAATCTCTAACAGTTTTGGGAGTACGGCCATTTTCACAGCATTGACTCTGCCTATCCAGGAGCATTTTCTGATGTCCTCTTCAATCTCCTTTTTCAGAGTAAAGGATTTCTCATTGTACAGGTCTTTCACTTCTTTGATTAGGTTAACTCCTAAGTATTTCATTTTACTTGAAGCTATTGTGAATGGTATTATTTTCATTATTTCCTTCTTACCCTGTTCATTGTTGGTGTACATAAATGTTAATGATTTTTGTGTGTTGATCTTGTACCCTGCTATATTGCTGAAGTTCATTATTAATTGTAAGGGCTTTTTGATGGAGTTTTTTGAGTCTTCTATGTAGAGTATCATGTCATCTTCAAATAATAATATTTTGAGTTCTTCTTTTCCTATATTTATTCCTTTTATTTCTGTCTCTTGCCTAATTACTCTGGCTAATATTTCAAGGACTATGTTGAATAGAAGAGGTGATAGTGGAAATCTTTGTCTTGTTCATGATTTTAGAGGGAATCTTTTAGTTTTTTTCCCATTTGATATGAACTATTGGTGTGTCAAATGACTTTTATCGTAGTCAGGTATAGTCCTTTTATACCAGTTTTCTTCAGCGTTTTTATCATGAAGGAGATGGGATTTTTGTTGGAAGCCTTTTCTGCATTTATTGATATGATCATATGGTTTTGGACCTTGCTTCAGTTTATGTGATATATTACACTTATAGACTTGTATGTTGAACCATTCTTGCATCTCTGAGATAAAACCTACTTATGATGTATGATTTTTTTGCTAATGTTCTGTATTCTATTTGTTAATATCTTGCTGAGAATTTTAAGAAAATTTTTATTTAAAGAAAAAAACGGTAAAAGGATACAAGTAATACAGAATTTAAAAAAAACATTAAGAAATCACTAGTTAATAGATTACATATTGTCATCTTAGAAATAGTTGTTCAAGTTGCAAAATTGAAGCATACAAAGTGGACATTCAAATAGTGAGAGTGCAAACAGTTGTGTTCAATGATCCAACAAAAATTAGTAATATGGTCATCCAACTTACACACCTAAACACACTTGCAGTTGTATCCGTTAGAATTTTTACATATATGTTCATTAAAGTGACTGGCCTACAGTTTTGTTTTTTAGTTGGGTCATTATCCAGTTTTGGGATCTGTGTGATACTGGCTTCCATAAATAAGTTTTGGAGCACGCCTTCTCTTTCTTTGAAGAGCTTGAAGAGTACTGGTGACACAGCATCCTTAAAGGTTTTGTAGAATTCAGCAACGAATGGGTCAGGTACTGGGCTTTTTTTAGTTGGTAGATTTTTTATAATTGAGTCAATTTTATTGCCTGTTATTGGGTTGTTAAACATATTTATGTCCTCTTGGGTTTTTTTTTGATCATTTGTATGTGTTTAGGAATTTATCAGTTTCTTCAAAATTTGCTAATTTGTTGGAATATAATCTCGAAGTCATTACTATCTTCTGGATTTTTACAGTATCTGTTGTGATTTCACTTTTTTTTCATTTCTATTTGCATTGATGTGTATCTTTTCTCACTTTACCTTAAGTCTAGGGACTTATCTATTTTACTTATTCTTTCAAAGAACCAGCTTTTGACTTTAAATTTTTAAAAATTGTTTCCTCTCATCTTTTTCAGACAATCTTATTACATATTGTCTTCTTAGAAATAGTTGTTCAAGTTACACAAGTAAAGCATACAAAGTGGACATTCAAATAGCGAGACTGAAAACAGTTCTGTTCAACTATCCAACAAAACTTAGTAAAACTTGGTATTATAAAAACTTAGTAATATGGTTGTCAATCTTATACACTTCAACATACATACAGTTATATCCTTTAGAGCACTTTCTTTTTTACAATAGCAATTACACATTTTGGGTTTTATTACTCATTATTCCTATTTCTTACTACTTTTTATACTAGAGATACAATGTGATATTTATAAATATGATTCTTATTTATTTCACTAATGAGGATAGCCTCAGATTTTCTCCATTTGCCTATAAAGTCTTCAAGATCATCCTTTTTCTTTTTCTTTTCTTTTCTTGTTTTTTTTTTTTTTTTTTTTTTTGTCTTTTTGAGACAGGGTCTCTTTATGCAGTTCTAGCAGGCCTTGAAATCACTTTGTAGCCCAGGTTGGTCTCAAACTCACAACGGTCCTCCTGCTTCAGCCTTCCAAGTGCTGGGATTACAGGTGTGACCCACCAAACCCAGCTGATCATCCTTTTTATACCTGAGTAATATTCCATTGTATAAAAATACCACAACTTTTTCCTCCACTCTGCTGTTGATGAGCATATTGGCTGTTTCCAAGATTTAGCTATTATAAACTGTGCTGCTATGAACATGGGTGCACATATATCACTGCGATATGACCTCTTCAGTTTTTCTGGGAAAATATCCAGGAGGGGAATAGCTGGGTTGAATGGAACTTCCAATCCTAGTCTTCTGATAATTTTCCATACTGATTTCCATAGTGGTTTTGCGAGGCTCCACTTTCACCAACAGTGGTACAGTGTTCCTTTTTCCCTGCAGCCTCACCAACATTTGTTATCAGTTGATTTCTTGATGGCAGCTATTCTTTTTTTTTTTTTTTTTTTTTTTTGTCTTTTTTGAGACAGGGTCTCGCTATGCAGTTCAGGCTGGCCTTGAGCTCACTTTGTAGCCCAGGCTGGTCTTGAACTCGCAACGATCCTCCTGCCTCAGCCTCCCGAGTGCTGGGATTACAGGCGTGAGCCACCACGCCCGACTGATGGCAGCTATTCTTTCCTGAGATGAAATCTTAATGCTGTTTTAATTTGCATTTCTCCTTTTTTTTTTTTTTTATCGGTACCGGGATCGAACCCTCGACTGCCTGCTTGCAACGCAGGCGCGCTTATGCCGCTGAACTAAATCCCCAGCCCCTCGTTTGCATTTCTCGAATGACCAGTGATGGTGAACGTTTCTTCATGTATTTATTTGCCATTTGTATATCTTCATCTGAGACCTGTGTGTACATCTCAGATGCCCATTTTTGGAGAAGGTCTTTGAATTTGGGGGCTTGATGTTTTTCAATTCTTTATATGCTCTGGATATAAGTCCTTTGCCTGAGGGATTGCTGGCTAAAATTCTTTCCCATTCTGTGGGTTTTCTTTTCACTCTGTTGGTAATCTCTTTTGAAGTGCAGAAACTTTTCAAAATATGAGATCCCAGTTGTTGATTCTTTGAAATGTTTCCCCAGGCAGTTTGCATTTTGTTCATGAATTCTCTGCCTACTCCTATGTCTCCAAGACTTCTACCTACCTTATCTTCCAGTAGATTTAATGTTTCTGTTTTAATATTTAGGTCTTTGATCCATTCAGACTTTAGTTTAGTGTATGGTGATAGGCATGGATCTAGTTTCAGTCTTTGGCATATGGAAAGCCAATTTTTCCAACACCATTTATTAAAGAGGTGAACATGCTTAGCCCCTTTGTCAAATATCAGGTGGCTGAGTGTCTTTGTAGTTGTGTTTGCATCTTCTAATCTGTTCCATTGATCCTCAGGTCTATTTTTTGCCAGTACCATGTTGATTTTATCGCTGGCTTTAAAGTATAGTTTCAAGTCAGGAATTGAGATACCTCCTGCATTGCCTTTGTTGTCCAGAATTGCCTTTGCTATTCTGGGTTTCTTCTGTTTCCAAATGAATTTCAGGAGTGTTTTGTCTAGATTTGTGAGGTATGTTAATGGTATTTAGATTGGGATTGCATTAAATCTGCATAAGAGTTTTGGAAGTATGGCCATTTTCACAATGTTGGTTCTTCCTAGCCAAGAGCAAGGAATATCCTTCCATTTTCTAATATCCTCTTCAATCTCTTTTTAGCGTAGCATAATTTTCAGCATGTAGGTCTTTTACATTCTTAGGTTGATTC